CCATCCATCAATAGTGATTGACAGCTGTAATCAATCAGCCATGACCTCTGCCGCGCTTTAACAAAAACTCCCACTAACAACGCATCTGCTGAAATCACTAAATAATCCACTTCACTGTCTTCAGTCTACTGATCTATAAATAGAACACGCTCAACGCCGGCTCTTCTGCTCGGCTAAACTTCCCATAATCCTCTGTTACCAATCAAATCGATGTGATCAATAAAATGTAGGTCATGCTGTATCATTAAATCATCGATGAGGTCTCCAGGTAACCCCACTAATGTCTAGTGAATCGTAATCTGACAAGTTGCTTCGCGCAGGTGTCTCGCGCTGCTGCTAGGTAATACAATATGATGACCTCATTAACATAATGCTATCCTGTAAAGATTTGTGTATTTTTATTTCCTAGTCAAAATGTTATGAATTACTTACAAGTATTCCTGAAAATCCATACAAAATTACCACAGTCTGTCTGAGCACTATATACGTCTTTCTAGATATCGTCTTTGCTCTAAGCCGGTGAACCAAAAACACAGCCGTGATAATATTGCATGAAAAGTAATTTTCATCGGAAAAATGTTTTCCTTGTTATCCAGTGAGAAATGCTCAGAATTAGAATCTTGTCACGACAAAACAACATTAAAGCAATATTTGCAAAAAAATATATACGCGCAATGCGCTGTGCAATTTCGACCCCTTGTCTAGGTAAACTCCACAGGCAACATGGCGGCTCATTAATCGGTCGCATTATTGATAGCTTCTGACATATGTGCTTTCTTTCCACCAACCAAACACTGATCTAAATCATAAGATTCCACTAATGTTCGATTTTTGTGATGCCCTACAGTTTTTATCAGGAGTGAACTCCGCTTACGGTCTAGTTTTCCATATAAAAACACGGATGAATTCAGACACCTAGAAAATATGCAAGGAAAAATACTAAAATGGCGTCGCTCCCGGTCAGGCTATTTAACAGCATAAGGGTACACACATACTATCGTCTAGCCGCCATTTGCACGACTGACAAAGGATGTGATCATTTTTATTCACAATTTCTGAAGGCCCCCACCCCTTCCCACGTGAGGGATACCCCCTACAAACATAGTCCACAAACTGCTTTAGTTTGTTTTCAAAACGATTTTCATTAAATACTGGCTGTAGAAGGAGACTTGATGGACGAAATTATGCAGTTTTTATAACTTACCAATATATTACGAGTAAGTTCGGTGTATGAGAACTCCGGGCAGGTCTTTGAAGTGCTTTTCGTGAGGGTCAAGTTAAATCGAAGCGTTGGGATTTCCTTCTTTTCCTTATTTTTCGACTGAACTGGGCCTACAGCAGTCAGCTGGATCCTCTTCGCTTCTGCCATGGTGCTTTCATTTGCAATCTAGTCATATCTTTTCCGAAAACTGAGATGATTGGATCTCCTATATTAATTTCTCGTACAATTCTGCCGCCATTTTGTGCCTGTCTAGGGACAATGCGCACGCGCGACCTATTTATAGCAACTCGTGCAAAGGAATGTAAATAAAGCCACGCGGTTACAGAGCGAACCATATATTCATAATTTCTTTTGTTATTTTTTTCGCTATCTTTATTTCAAATAACAGACATATAAAAAGTATACAACCGATAAAGACAGAAATATGATTAAGCAGTTTGTCATTTCATTATGAACTCTTGTTTTAAATTCAACGGCGTTTCAAGACATGTACACTGTACATGTACCCAGTACATGTACAGTGTAGAATTTAATAGATTCGGGGACAACACAACATTATTGTAGATCCAACTCCGTGTAAGGAACGACAAAATCAACGCAAAAACATAAATGATAATTATTTTGAATTTGATATATGTATTAAGGCTAGATAGGTTCAAGTTTTGCTGTGTCATAGCCAGTCATTTGTTCAACTACAAACAAAACTTGGATGACAAAGGACGCCAGTTATGACAGAGAAAATCATAGATGTATCCTTTCCGACAGGAAATTGGAAGAGTAATATATCCCCGCCACTTCTCCCTCCCCAAGTAATAATAATAATAATAATAATAATAATAATAATAATAATAATAATAATAATAATAATCAAAGTTCTATGAGGACGAAAAACACGGCAAAATGGCTATATTAAATAAAAATTTGTGGTGATGGTGTTGATGGCAGTGGGTGGAAAACCATCTGTTCCTACAACCGGGTATCTCTTAAGTGCTCAATGTTGTCTTTGTTTAAAACCTTTAAAGCGTCCGTTATGGCTAAGAACTGTTATTGTATGATATCGATATTCTTCTTTTTATAGACTAGCGCTAGGTAAAATTCCCCATCAAAGCAAATTATCATGCACCTATGTGTATGCCAGATCTATCTATCTATCTATCTATCTATCTATCTATCTATCCATTTCAGCAGATTGGGGGTGGGGGTCTGATCCATCGCATCCAGCATTTCCTGTCCACATATTTTTACAATAGGTTCTGATTACTTATTTGACATGTTAATCTGAGTTATTTAATGCTTTTCAAGTGAAAACTGAACCTGTTCTTTTGTCGGTGCCAAATGAATCACGCTTGATATCAGTGTGCCTTATACAAGTGTACAATATTTCATGCTATTTGTGGTCCCTATGACTACCATAATCCCAACTTCACTGCCTTTATACTGATGTAAATGTATGTGTGTGTCTGCGTGCGCGCGCGCGCGTGTGTATAATACATTAATGATTAACTCTGTATAAATCTAATGCCTCAAGTTTCTCTTTTAGGAGTCTAATTTGCTAATAAATGGACGTGTGAAGGCTGTACCAAATGGAGTCACTGGTCGATCTAAGATTTGGCTAAAAGTTGAGGCGGGACAGGGGGAAAAATTAAATAATCATAAAAATATAGTATATCTTATATTAAACAGCATACGAGTGTTTACCATAATATGCAAGACGCACAGAGGGGAGATTGTCTCACTCTATTTTTTTTCTTATTTATTTATTTTATTTTTTGGGGGGTGGATGGGGGTAGAGGTACTCCTGGACCTAAGGGAGGGGTACTTGCCCAATCTGCCCACCCTGGATCTACCTATAATACTGTAGTAGTTAACCAGAACTTCGAGGAATAAAAAAAACGTTTTATTCATTCTGTATCAGAAACACCAATTATCCTGGCGGCTGAAAGCACATCAGCTCATGAAACTCGATAAAAAAAGAAAGGTGCTGAATCCCAAAGTCATAAATAGCCTATTCTTCTCTTTTTAACAAGATTACATTATCTGCCTTTCAAACATGGTAATACAAATACGTTTGAGTCCTTTTTTTCCTTATATCAAGTGATTCATTGAAGAGAAGGCGCATTACATGAAATTTGCTGTCCAAAATGTACCTTTTCTTTTTATCTTGAAAAAGAACCTTTTCATTACAAAGGTATATATTACATCAATCATTAATTAATTCTTAGGATATATAGCAATCAACATTTCTAAGTGTTTCATCCGTATAAAGTAACATTAAAATACGTAAAACATAAGTATATGAAACATATCTACAAGCTTCTTATCAAGCACACGTCTTTCAAAAGAAGTATTCATGACAAGACCTCAATTTTGTCAACTGATTTTTTTAAAGAATTAAGAATCATCATGTAAAAATTACATTTCAGAAGAAATTAAATCGATGTTTTGAAAACTTAATTCTCACATTCACGTACACATTCTGAAAATTCTACTGGCCTAAACAAAATTTTACTGCCCGTGGGGGTACATCTAGAACCAGTGGCTAACGTCGCAGATTGATATCATGCATGCTTATTCTGTAGCATTAGTAATCAGTGATACAAACAAAAAAGAGATAAATGTTCTTTTCAAGGCTCTTCAAAGGCAGATAATAAAACGTTTTCAAAGTCTCCATTTTGAACAGCTGATAAAATCTTCTCCAGCCACGTGTCAATTGCTGCCTGGCCGTGGTAAAATGGCACTCCCACCGTGTGACGTATGTACCAGTACGCCTTCTTCGTTCCTATACGAAAAAAGTCTATTTTAAGTGTGCTGAAATAACTAATAATTTGATCCTTTAAAGATTTAAAGTCGTAAGCAGTAGTAAGCACTTCAACTTAATTTTGAATTATGATTTTTGTCAGGACTTCCTTTAACCATAATTATTCCTCATAACGGTCTTAATTTTAAAATGTTCAATTATCAAAATAAAATAAAATAAAAGCAGCCTACCTGTTCCTAGACAATCAACAGTCCCTAAATGACCATTACACGCATCAGACATCAGTGATTTCATAGCGACACATATCTCATTTCGGATGTCTTCTTCTTTGTGACCATTTTTAGGAATTTTCTCCGCAAACTTAGCTGCAGATTCCTCTGGGTGGAACAGGAAATCATACCATTTGTTTTCTTTAAGGAACGTGGCAAGGAATTCCTTTTGGCGTTTCCCCATTTTGCGCATTGAACTTATTACCTAAAAAGATAACATTCGCTTTCAATGCAGAATAGTTCCGATTTTCTTTTTCATTTAGATTGTTTTGATATTCTGGATGTGTCTATCTTGTTATCGAACATGAATTCACATTTATGTAACTGGAGAAGCGATTTTAAATGTAACACGTTCTTTTACTTCAGTTTGTTTATATGATGATAAAAACAACTTGCCATACATTCCAGTATTTTTTCTAGCGCGACTGGGATGCTATCTTTCGCGAAATAATGTTTTTTAAACAACACGTGTTCAGTATGTGGTAAATGCTTACCTCATTACGCAGATATCTCAGGTCCAAGGCCTGACACAGTAAACACAAATGATTCGCTAGCATCATCTGTAATATCTCCAGCGCTTCTCGAGTAAGACGAGAACTGACGAGAGCCATGGAGTTGACAGATTGATTCTGGCATTCAGCAGAGAGCACGTGGTTGGACATTGGATTGGCCAGGTGATCTAACTCTGACATGTACGATGCCATGGCAGTATCAGCTCCTTTGAAACCAAAATCGAGATTGACGTCTGATCCGCAGAGATTTGGCGGAAGGTCGTGGTTAATGCGATGGTTGACGATTTCTTGCAATTGTGCCAATAGAAGCTTCCCACAGACCTGCAGTGCTTGGCGAGTTTGATCTAATGTTATTGAAAGCGTTTCTCCTTGAAAATTGCCTCCATGAGCAATGGTGTCGGTGCGGTGGTCGATGACCGGGTTGTCATTGGCACAATTCAGTTCCACGTTTATTCGTCGACAGGCCTCTTTGAGAGTCTCGATCACCGGGCCTAGCCATTGTGGGGCCGTCCTTATGCTGTAGCGGTCTTGTTTCAAAGACCCGTACGTATCAGGTAGATGCATCTCTAACGTCGAAACGGCGAGTCGACTTCCGTCCAATATTTTTAACATGTTGTTGGAAACTTCTTTCAAACCGACGTGCTGAAGGCAAGCATGGTGGACTGGATGGAAACTTTCCATTTTACCTTGTAGTGCTTCTACGGCCAGCCCTGTGCAAATCTGTGTTAGAAGGACAGCAATGTTGGCTTCATAAATGGTTTGAGCGGCGGTACCAGCAGCGAAGGAGGTGGCATTGATAATGGCGAGTCCTTCTTTTGGTCCCATCACCAATGGTTCTAGATTGGCTTCTTTAAGGGCAACAGGACATGGCATGATTTGACCTCTGACCATTACGTTGATATCTTCTCTTCCGATCATGGCTGCTGCTATATAACCCAAAGGCATCAAGTCACCACTGGCGCTGACAGAACCACGCAGAGGAACGATAGGAACGATATCGTTATTAATCATGGCTACCAGTAACTGTACCACGTCTGGTCGTACTCCTGAGTAAGCCTTAGCGAGACAATTGGCCCTTGTGACCATTACAGCGCGCACCATGTCTGGAGGAAAGTGTTCGACCCATCCCGGCATTGATGTGTTGTATCAAAGCTTTCTGCAACTTTTCTAACTCCAGAGTGCGGGTATCAGCGCTGTTTCCAAACCCTGTATTTATACCGTATATGACGAGCTTTTCCTCTGTGATTTTCCTTTTAAGATATTTAGCGTTCAACGCCATTTCATCTACGGCCTGTTCAGAGATTTCCAACTTTATGTTTGTGCTATTACTGCATTCAACCACCTGTCCGTAACAAAATTCTCCATATTATCCAAAATGGCGATTATTTAACAATAAAATATTTAAAGATATAATGTACACAGGGGTGTTCGTAATTTGATCCTAATACATATACTTGTATCACTTACGACTTGGAAAATAAAAGCTTTTAAGATTTTAAGCATTACAGACATTCGAAGACATTTTTTGATACAATTTACATTTTATAAGCTATTTATAGTATTTAATAAACTGCTGAAATCATACGGTAAATAATTTACTTGTGCGAGGTTGAGGCAACTGCCGTCTATAGTAACTTTTTCAGCGTTCTTGAGCAATTTTCTCTTCTGCATTAATTCCACTGTGAGTCTGATATGAGTTGTGTCGTCCGACATCATTATGTTTTCAGGAGTGTCAGAGCACTATTATATACTGCTGATCCTTACTGCTGAAAAGGACAAAATGATCATTGAGTGTGAGCGTTTGCGGGCCAGGGACATGAGAGGGAGAGAGAACAGACTTACGAGAAGTACCATTCATGGTCAACAACGGTTTTTACTAAGATCTGGCATTACTTTAAGTATCTAAAACGTATTTCATTTCTCTTCCTATCTTATTTCTCTTTCGTTAAGCACACGCGGGGTCGACTGTTACCTTTTAACAGACTTGTTTTAGCTTCACTCACCTCAGTTTTAGCACACTCCGGATTATTTCGCTTCTGGTTCAGTCTTCTTGTTTGAATGCATTTGTGTCCTTCGTGGGCTGCGCACCTTCATTATATATGGTCAGTGCACGTGACTGATATTAATTGAATACAGAGGCCTATCTATCTTGACCATGTTGACTGGACCTTATGTATTATTTTGTTGACGTATCATTCTGACGTTATCTTATTGCTGAATTAACACACACACACACACACACACACACCTATGCACCTGCATATACACAGTGAATAAAGTGAGGGGAAATATCAAATATGCACTGAAACTCGCTGAGAATGAAGTGCGTGGCATTGACCCCGCGTGACTTATAATTTTAAAGAAATTAGTATACGGACTGCAAAACCAAGCCTCTGTTTTCTCTCAGATTCACCAATTGACGTCCAACAGCTAAGAAGAGATCATGAAAAAATTGCAAATATTGGGACGGTCCTCAAATTCGCATCACTGGGTTAAAATAATACATGTATATCAAAACAGCAAAAATCAATTTTGCAACCTTGCTACCAAATCGGAAAATGACTGGTATGCTTTTAAACAATCTATAACGTTTCGTAATAGGCAGGCATGAGACAATGCAAGAATTGAAAATCGCGAAAGTGCGTGATACATGTGACCTACTGGCCAAGCCCACCACAGAGTTAAGTGGTTTTTTACGGTTCAAGCTCGAGCAATGCCCCCTCCCTCACCTTTAAAAATAGCCTTCACCCCTGTTCCCCCCCCCCCCCAAAAAAAAACAACAGTATAAGCACCAAAGCGAGATAAAACCAAGCACTTTTTCTTCATTGTGCCCTTACAGCATCATTATCCTCATGTTAAAACAACTTTGTAATTCCCAACAAGAAGATAGGAAAAAAATTAACATTGTGCCCCACACCCCTTAGGAATAGCCGGATTCTGGTCATGGTTACAGATGTAGAACAAGAAAATACATTTAACAGAACATCTTCCTTCAACTTTTAATTTAACGGCTAGTAGGGACAGGTGTCATGATCATTACATTATTATACTTATCATTTTACGATCTTATGTAAATAAATATACTCCAGTTGCATGTTGAAATTCAATAAAAGAAAAAGACACGCTAACATGATTAAATATACATGATTTACTTTTCATGTCAAGCCTTACTAGAATATAATTTGATGTTAATTTAGATTATGTCCTCTGTAACTGGCTATGGTCCCTCACTGCACAATCTCACCGATTGTCCAAGAACAAATGTAACCCAAGAACCATTTATTTGCTGTTTACAGACTATATACAGCCCACGTATTTCTAAAAACTAGAGAAATTAGTAAATATACGGAAACAAACAACGCGTCCCTTGCTCTATTTGGGGGTGGAGGTGAGGTCGATGAATGCGGAGACCACTCAGGTTCCTGTTTACAGTTGATGAATCGGTTGAGAAACTTCTGGTCTAGCCACTTCAGAGAAGATTAATTTTGCTGTATGAGGGGTAACCTCATCTTGCTGATACCCCTTCTAAACTCTGTTTGCACCCTTTGGCTCCTGAGCCTCAGTCCATGCCCATGAATAATTTGTTAAGAACCCCCCCCCCCTGCCTCAACCTCCAGATTTTACTCTGACGGATTGAGTCTATCACTCAAGAAATCGGAGCCATTTCAAAGGAACAGTAAACAGTATACATCAAAGTCATCGACAACTTCGCCCGTAGAAATGAAGAGTGTCTTAAGCAGAAAGGAGCACATTTGGAGCACATCCTGATAGCATATTCAAATGACAATAAAATATTTGCCAGTAGAGCTTCATGTAGTGGCGATTTGTTTGTAACAGTAGATTTGTAACTTCTCTGGGTTTCAAAAATATATGGAGTGCATAACGTTTGTTAACATAAAATAAATGGCATTCACGTTCTTAGGTTACATTTATACTCAGGCACACTGTAATTTGTCACGTCCAATATTACCTTACCCCCTTTGTGATGTATCAGTCCTTCTCTAAAATCTCAAGAAATATTTTGACACATCATACATCACATAAGCTTAGAATCTTTGTTATCTTTTCGTTATCATCTACCATTTTATTGTTATTCGTCATGCCAACTTAGAATGCCCCTCTGTATGTAGAGGGGTAATTTACTGTAAATGCTGAGACCTAGTTGCAGGTATCCAGAAATAAATCTAGAAGTTTTCGAGACACTTGTATGAGTATGAGGTAGACTGTGACTTGTGCACACAGATGCCGTTTGTTTTAAAAAATACAGTCAATGATGATTTGATTGGATTTATGTCGATCTACCAACTCCCCTAGTAAAATCCCCCTGTGTTAGGCTCGCCGTTGCACGGTACAATATTTTACAGCGGTCATACTAGAATATGGTAACAATTTTTTGACAGAATAATTAATGTGCCTGTTGTGGTGGAGGGACACGACCTCTTCAGATAAAAATACATTTTTAACGCAGAATAAATGCCATACATAACTCATGATAAGTCTTCAATAAATCATAAATGTGCGGGTCTAAAATTCTACAGCCCAATGTTCTTCACCTTTCACCCTCCATTGTGGGGATTTGAATAAAATCAGGTTAGCAGAATTCTGGCAAAGCGAATACGATTTTTGTAAACCATTATTAGATATGCCTTTTGTTTTCCATTAGGTTGTACTGGTAATTGGTGTTCATGTTTTCGTATTCATATTTGACTAATGCCCTAGTACATTTTGAAAGCTGAATCCGTGCGTCACTCTCACATTTCAAGGGCATTATTTGCAGCTGTGGAAAAATATATAAGTCATCGCAGGTTTTATTATTGTTATTGAGGTTAGTTAAAAATAAGTTTGAAAAACTGCGGTTATGTGTATTTTATTCGGAGGTGCCACAGGGAAGTTCCATCCCTTATGTTTGACGTCTTTTCAGATTTTAAAAATGCAAAGACTGCCTAACAGAGGAAGGTATGGAGCTTTCCTTTGAAAGTTCAAAACTTCTATGCATGTGCGAATATTTCTTGAATTTTACCAATTTCGTACTTAGAAACACATTTCCTGCAATATAGTCCTAGCACCTTTTTCCAAAGGACATCCTACTGTTAATATTACTTAGTTTCTTTTGACACAGGGCCTGTGAGTTATTTTCGCAGATTCATATCTTTTAATTGTTATTTCTATAAGAGCTCGTTTCCACTAGTTCATCTGAATAAGGTAAGAAAAATTAAATAATAAATACGCTTAAAATACGTTTGTTTTATTTTTGATTCATCACAAGAGAATTTTCCTTCATTTACTTTCAATTTAAAATAAGGTTTAAGCCGTACAAAAGTCGCATTTACAGTTACAGTACGTCCACATCAGCAGTAAGTGCTTCTCCTTAGTGAAGTTTTGAAGGAGACTGCGACTGATTTGTCCTGCCAAAACTGCCCTCTACATAATGACTCAAAATGACTTCATAATGACTCAAAACCAGGTCGACAAATAACAACACTTACCCCAAAAAGGAACGTAGAGACTCTTAAATGCCCTGATACTGGATAAACGGCGTGTTTTTTACGTCTCTTAGTGTAAACAAATGTAATCAGGGGATGGTGCTTAATAAAAAACAATTCTTTGTAAATATGTGTACTTGCTCTTTGCGAACTTCACCTATACTCACATAATAAATGACTGATGACTGGGGGAGGAGAGGAGTGGAGGTAGAATTATCCGGAAGTGGGGGCACAGAATGTGTTTTCGGTTTTTATACAGGCCTATTTAGGAAGCAAGAAGAAAAGGTGGAGGCAAGCAAATCTGTACCGGTATATTCCAATTCCTTTCGATGGATCCATCTTCTCTACTGTATATTTATTTTCATTCTTACTGAACATACGGAAATTCTAGCCGTTCCAGTGAAATCGTAAAAGGTCTAGATCTCTGTCGTTATACGTCGTGGAGATCGTTACTGGGGGTGTGGGCGAATGTGACATTTTTTGTAGTTCTTGACATCAAAGACTATCCTTTAATGTTCAAAAGAGGTATGTCCCCATTCTACGTGTACATCAGGAAAAAATAATTTTGTATATTCACAGTCCCGATATTTTAGCATAATACCCGATGACAAGCTGTGCACAATAAAACTTTCCTACCAAAGCTTTCCTTCCAAAACTTCCATACCTAGATTCATACGACGGAAAATAATAGTAATATATGCGCCTAGCGAATAAAGTCCTGATTCATAACGGACAGGTATATAATGGTTAGCTTACGGTTTAATTTCGAGGTTAATATCAATGTAAACTGCTTCAAGTTATCAAAAAGTATACATTTAGTAGATTTTTTCCAATGTAAATGCTATTTAAGAATTTAAACCAATTTAGATATGTCACTCTTCAAAAGCTCAAAATTGTCATGCGAGAGCTCGTCCGGATATTAAAGTAATATTTCAGTGGATAAAATTAGCTTAAGTTATGTGCTTGCAAGGGCGGATCCAGAGATATTTTCTGACAGGCTTCCGAATTATCTTTATTGATCCATCCTCCACTTTTGACCGTCTTCCGACAGAAAAATTAGAATTAAACTTGAAAATCTGACCGTCTTCCGGAAAACCCAGAAGACGGCCTAAATCCGCCCCTGACTTGTTTATGCCGACAAACAACCTGTTGACATCTCTGGCTAATAGGGCTAAGTTTCACCAAAATAGGCGCAGGGTGACGTTAGGACGCTACCCGTGTGACGCATTTCGAAAATAAATGAATGTTGACAAGTGGATGGTGACCTGGCGAGGCTGCACGAACACTATATAAAAGCTCTGATTATTAACAGTTACAAAAAAGTGAAACACGAGGTAACACGACACGTAACGTACTGTGAGTGGAAATAGGTAAGTACAGATATACCGAATAGAGGCTACAATATGCTACATAATTACACATAGCAGAGTCAACGCGGTGAATTTTTTGCTTTTAATATTTTCTTTTTGCAGATACTGCAGTTGCTTAGTTTACTGTAGTTGAAAATGACATGGTGTGTCTAACTTTTCTTTCATTTTCCTTTTTCAGAATTAAGAAAGAAACACAAGCAATACAGAAAAAATAAGAAGCACACGCCATACGGAAGAAAATATCAAAATGGGTGAGGACAAGACACATCTCAGTCTCACATTACAGTTAATGCAGGAACGAAAGCTGATCAGAGATGAAGAAACCTTCACAGTTGACGGGAAAGGGCTGAATATTGCACACGTACGTACATTGGTTTTCTTTGCAGTTATCAGCTAGATATTAACCTGCCCTGTGTATATTGAATTGGCACCTTTATCCACATAATGAAACAGCTCGTCATTTCTAACATATTGATCTGTGGCATTTCCAGAATTGAGAATATTCAACCTTGAAACTGTGTGTGAGTGCGTGCGTGCGTGTACTTTTGCTTTTTACTGTAAATCCATCTATTTTTAATGTTCACATTGAGTCTCAAATGCAATAATTTTGAGGGATATTATTCTTGGGACCTTATGACGATCACCTCCCTTTACAGGTACATGAGAGCAGCAAAAATACGCACATCAAGCTGTCCATTTCCGACCATTCCAAGAATGAAATGGCTCAAAATGCCGAGTATCTTCGAAAGAAAGTGACCGAAGATAGGTTGGTTATATACGGTATCAACACAGGGTTTGGAAACAGCGCTGATACCCGCACTCTGGAGTTAGAAAAGTTGCAGAAAGCTTTGATACAACACATCAATGCCGGGATGGGTCGAACCTTTCCTCCAGACATGGTGCGCGCTGTAATGGTCACTAGGGCCAATTGCCTCGCTAAGGAGTACGTCCAGACGTGGTACAGTTACTGGTAGCCATGATTAATAACGATATCGTTCCTATCGTTCCTCTGCGTGGTTCTGTCAGCGCCAGTGGTGACTTGATGCCTTTGGGTTATATAGCAGCAGCCATGATCGGAAGAGAAGACATCAACGTAATGATCAGAGGTCAAATCATGCCATGTCCCGTTGCCCTTAAAGAAGCCAATCTAGAACCATTGGTGATGGGACCAAAAGAAGGACTCGCCATTATCAATGCCACTTCCTTCGCTGCTGGGACTGCCGCTCAAACCATTTATGAAGCCAACATTGCTGTCCTGCTAACACAGATTTGCACAGGGCTGGCCGTAGAAGCGTTACAAGGTAAAATGGAAAGTTTCCATCCTGTCCACTATACTTGCCTTCAGCACGTCGGTTTGAAAGAAGTTTCCAACAACATGTTGAAAATATTGGACGGAAGTCGACTCGCCGTCTCGACGTTGGAGATGCATCTACCTGATACATACGGGTCTTTGAAGCAAGACCGTTACAGCATAAGGACGGCCCCACAATGGCTAGGCCCGGTGATCGAGACTCTCAAAGAGGCCTGTCGGCGAATAAACGTGGAACTGAATTGTGCCAATGACAACCCAGTCATCGACCACCGCACCGACACCATTGCTCATGGAGGCAATTTCCAAGGTGAAACGCTTTCAATAACATTAGATCAAACTCGTCAAGCGTTGCAAGTCTGTGGAAAGCTTCTTTTGGCACAATTCCAAGAAATTGTCAACCATCGCATTAACCACGACCTTCCGCCAAATCTCTGCGGATCAGACATCAATCTCGATTTTGGTTTCAAAGGAGCTGATACTGCCATGGCATCGTACATGTCAGAGTTAGATCACCTGGCCAACCCAATGTCCAACCACGTGCTCTCTGCTGAATGCCAGAATCAATCTGTCAACTCCATGGCTCTCGTCAGTTCTCGTCTTACTCGAGAAGCGCTGGAGATATTACAGATGATGCTAGCCAATCATTTGTGTTTACTATGTCAGGCCTTGGACCTGAGACATCTGCGTAATAAGGTTAGCATGAATACATATGTTGTTATTATTATTTTCTTTTTTTTTCTATCCAAACTTGAAATACAATAGCAAGTTATATAAATTATTGTTTAAGCCATATAGTAGAAAAATTATTCCTTCCATATTTTATTCAAATCGCACTCTAATTACAACATTGCGAATGCATTTAGTTTCAAAACAGACACGACCAGGCTGCAAATAAATAAATAAATAAATAAATAGATAAATAAAAATTGTATCAATTTGCGCTAAAACTCATTGTTATCTTTTTCAGGTACTGATGACAATTGACAAAATGGGAAAACCCCATAAGGAATTCCTTGCCTCTTTTCTCAAAGAAAACAAATGGTATGATTTCCTTTTCAACCCAGAGGAAACTGCAGCTAGGTTTGCTGAGAAAATTCCTAAAAATGGTCACAAAGAAGAAGAAATCCGCAGTGAGATATGTGGCGCTATGAAATCACTGATGTCTGATGCGTGTAACGGTCATTTAAGGACTGCTGACTGCCTAGGAAAAGGTGAGCTGTTTTATATTGCAAATTTTGAAATTGGCGTATATTGAGCGTTTACTCTTGAGACGTCTTCAAATAAAGACGTTTTAACGAATTGCTTAAATAAAATTAGTAGAATTGAGTCTTCGGCCGCTTTACCTATTACTAAGATACCTAGCCTGTATCTGATCTGAATGATTTGATCACAGTTAAGTTGTAGTTTATTTTATTTTAGGTTCACAGAGAGCGTACTGGTTCATACGTCACACGGTGGGAGTGCCATTTTACCACGGCCAGGCAGCAATAGACACGTGGCTGGAGAAGATTTTATCAGTTGTCCAAAATGGAGACTTTGAAAACGTTTTAATTTCCGTATTTGAGGAGGCTTAATTTTCAAATTATGCAATGAACATTGATATGCATTTATTTTGTAATTCAGTGCACTTTATTTGTATGTTATTTTTCGGAATATATATATTTATATGATCTCCACTAAATATATATGACAGGGATTCTCTCCCCCTTCAAATAATCCTGGATCCGCCCCTGATATATCATATATTTTTACAATAAAACAGAAGAAGAAAAACGGTTGAGCGTGTCGTTCATACGGTACTGTATGATAATTTACATGTCATTTATAATGAACATTATACATGTAGCAAATTATATATGAAGGAAAATCGGGTAAATGATAAAAACGTGCTGACCCACTTTTAAGCATTTGACCCTGAGATCGACGAGAAAGAGGAACAATATGAATTAAGTGGCTGGAATATTAAAGCAAGCACATATGAAAATTCAGTTTTGGGCAATCGTCGCAACCAAACTTCACACCTAATACAATCAATGCATTTTCTGTATATACGGGCGATGAATCCCTAGCATTAACAAGATTTTTAGCCATTTAGAAAATTAAAACTATACATGTAATAAAACCAATACAGAAAATTCCTTATCTTTATTTGAACGAATACAGATCGTAATCAAATTTAGTTAAAATAAATGTATAAACAGCGTTGATCAAAAGTCACAAAATGAGAGGGGATGATTTCGATTATGAAGTCATAACAAAAAAAAGCCCTGTTGCTGGCTTACCACCCTTGCAAATTTGTGTCAAAAATGCATCCATACGTAAAGACACAATTTTGCATTTTTTTTCGTTTATCTTGATTTCCTGCACTTCTGCATGTTGAAATACTAGTAGCCCATCTAGAAAAGTACTTCCGCATTCTGCGTTCAGCTTCAGATAAAATATATATACTACCCTAGCAAAAAGAGTGTCACCTTAACCCGATATATATGCGAACCAGGCCCAAACAAACACGCCCCACCAATGGCCAGCTAAAAAAAAATTCCTAGAACAGAACCTCATTAAGAATGTGTGGAATAACCTCGGGAATGGATAACGGATAGATAACTCTGTAAAAAATAGATGATATCAAACTCTGCACCGTATGTGGAACGCAATCAAAGCGCAAACGTTACAGGACTTTTTGACTCCCCTCGCAGACGCGACAGTCGTGCCCTCTAATCCAGAAGATGCTGTACAAAATACTGAGATGTGGCTTTGATTTTTGAAAATCGTCAGTTTATTCATTGGTTGTACAAATCGTAAATTTTTGTGAAAAATTCCTTTTAAAAGTTGAATGAGGAACATTGGTTGTGTATCACTTTACACATTTTGTTAGGGGTGACACTTTTTTTTGCTAGGGGAGTATATATATATATATATGCTCAAATTGGAGAAAACTGACTGACAGACGGGACAACCGGATAAAATACTCAGTGTCTAGGATGATGAACTAAGGCTCACTTCCATGCTGTTAGTCAATGCCTTGGTACTTGACGGCACGGCCACAACCTGTTTTACTGTTTACTTATATTGTTGTAAACAAAACATATAAGAAATATAATCATGGGATATTGATTGAAAATAATCCTGATCTCAGTTGTAAATATGTGTAATAAGGTCTTCAAGAACATCACCTATGGTATATTTACATAAACACTGGAACTGGTAGAAGAGGGCTTAGAAAAAAGGTGTGGGCTTATAATAATCAAGATGAGGAAGCGCAGTGTTTTTCTGTTTACGTATATATGCAGGAACCAAGATGAAAAGCAAGCCTAACTATGTGTTTTCGCGTCCACGGACCCACCCTATCTCCATATATTTTCATTGTTACTCAGTGGCGGATTTAGGGGGTGTCAGGGGAGTCCTGACCCCCCTTTCTATTTCTGAAAAAGAAAAAAGCACCAATGTCCCCCCTCTTGAAATTAGAATTTTGACTAGGTGAATCATAGTTCTAAACCGTACTAAATGGCACCGTTCGCCCTCTAAAATCACAAATTTTTTCGGTGCACTTCACCCGCCCCCCCGGTTCCCATGCCAATGGGGGGGAGGGGGGGCGTTTGCTTCGCATCCGTGGACAAACCCCCCTCTCCCACTTCAAATAATCCTTAATCCGCTCCTGTTACTAAACTGGTAAATATATATATATGAACACCACATCCGTTCCTGTGAAATTGCTTCAGTTATCTGCCGTTATATGACCAGCAGACCCTAACTGTGGGGTGTTTTTGATATGGGACTGTGCATGGAAGTTTATACTTCCGTGGTTATAGTGTACTGGTAACCAGCACATACCGGTACTGCTACGTGATGATAAGTGCACGTCCTGGCGAGTGAAGGTGACACATTTTTAGAAGTTCTTGACTTCAAAGACTATCCCTGAAAGTTCAAATGAGCCATGACCCTATTTGAACCTCCATATGTCTTGTTGATAAACATGGGCGTGGTAAATATAAGCGTTTGGGTCCTGGTTTTGTCGCTGTTTATTCTTAGTCCGGCGTAGAAGTCAAGGACAAGCAGTGTATAAAGGAAAATCATTGTCGGGGCCGTTTGAGAATTAAATAAGCTACTATGGCCCACATACTGGGGATAAAAACAATTTGAACCACGAAAAATAGCAATTCGTAAAAAAAGGGCACAGTAAGCAAAGGCCAGGTTCGAAACGAACAGGTACAAATCTCGTATTATGGTTTAATTTAATGTCCAATGATAACATTGTCAAGTTATCTTTAGTCTATATTTATTAGATTTTATTAGAAAATTCGTATTAATGCTGTCTGAGAATCTAAATCAATTTATAAATACCATTCCTCAAAAGTTATAGATTATGCAAAATGTTAGGCAGCAGTTAGTCCCGATACAAAAGTAATATTTCAATGGACAAATTAAGTTAAAGTTGTGGACTTGGTTTAAATTAATGTTAGCTTTTAAAAGACTTAAAGACGTCACACAAACAACGCCTATTGACATTTTAGACAAACATAAATACTTTTAAAAAATAGGCGCATGGTGACGTATTTCTCTAGATTGGATTGCGGAAAAAAAACGACTGTTGACAAGCGGAAGGTGACCTTGCCATGCTGCGCGAACCCTATATAAAGGCTCCGATTGCTAATAGTAACAAAAAAGTGAAGCACGAAGTAACAAGACACGCTGCGTATGTTGTGAGTGGAGTGGAAGTAGGTTAGTGCAGATATACTGAATAGAGGCGACGTTGTATATATGCTAAGTGTTAGACGCGGCAAAGTTAGCGGGAGATACCGAAAAAATCAAAAAATATTTTCTATTTGCAGCTTTGTAATTTTATAATTGCATGGCGTGTTTCACTTTTATTTCATTTTCTAATTTCCGAATTAAGAGAGAAACGCGCAATTCAGAATAAAAAAGAGGCACACTTCATTCGGAAGAAATCATCAAATGGCTGAGGATAAAACTCATCTCAGTCTCACATTACAGTTAATGCAGGAACGAAAGCTGATCAGAGATGAAGAAACCTTCAAGGTTGATGGGAACTCACTGAATATTGCACACGTACGTATTAGTTTTCTTTGCAGATATCAGCTTCATATTTACAGACGTAATGGATTGGGACGTTTCTCTACATCTTAAAATAATTTTACAAACCTCTCCACATTTCTTGAACTTCTGAGCCAAAAAATTGTTATGCGCTTTCTTCAATTTGAAGACTATATTATGACTATTCGGTATCAATGGTTTCGATCTTTTAGTGGGACACTAGTGCAATCTATGCTCCCTTTATAATATACATTTAGCTTCAACTGAACAAGTTCTTTGAAGCATATTTTTCTAAGGGCTTTATGAAATCTAAATTTCCAGGTACACGAGTGCAGCAAAAATACGCACATCAGGCTGTCTACTTCTGACCATTCCCTCATTGAAATGGCTCTAAATGCCGAATACCTCCGAAGGAAGATCACCGAAGAGAGGCTGGTTATATATGGCGTCAGCACAGGGTTCGGTAACAGCGCCGACACTCGGACATGGGAATTTGAAAAACTTCAGCAAGCGCTTATAAGACTTATAAATGCCGGGATGGGTCGAACATTTCCTCCAGACATGGTGCGCGCTGTGATGGTTACAAGGGCCAATTGTCTCGCTAAGGCTTACTCAGGAGTACGGCCAGACGTGGTACAGTTACTGGTAGCCATGATTAACAACGATATCGTTCCTATCGTTCCTCTGCGTGGTTCTGTCAGCGCCAGTGGTGACTTGATGCCTTTGGGTTATATAGCAGCAGCCATGATCGGAAGAGAAGATATCAACGTAATGGTCAGAGGTCAAATCATGCCATGTCCTGTTGCCCTTAAAGAAGCCCATCTTGAACCATTGGTGATGGGACCAAAAGAAGGACTCGCCATTATCAATGCCACCTCTTTCGCTGCTGGTACCGCCGCTCAAACCATTTATGAAGCCAATATTGCTGTCCTGCTAACACAGATTTGCACAGGGCTGGCCGTAGAAGCGCTACAAGGTAAATTAGAAAGTTTCCATCCTGTCCACTATACTTGCCTTCAGCACGTCGGTTTGAAAGAAGTTTCCAACAACATGTTGAAAATATTGGACGGAAGTCAACTCGCCGTTTCGACGTTAGAGATGCATCTACCTGATACATACGGGTCTTTGAAGCAAGACCGTTACAGCATAAGGACGGCCCCACAATGGCTAGGCCCGGTGATCGAGACTCTCAAAGAGGCCTGTCGGCGAATAAACGTGGAACTGAATTGTGCCAATGACAACCCGGTCATCGACCACCGCTTTCAATAACATTAGATCAAACTCGTCAAGCGTTGCAGGTCTGTGGGAAGCTTCTATTGGCACAATTCCAAGAAGTTGTCAACCATCGTATTAACCATGACCTTCCGCCAAATCTCTGCGGGTCAGACATCAATCTCGATTTTGGTTTCAAAGGAGCTGATATTGCCATGGCATCGTACATGTCCGAGTTAGACCACCTGGCCAATCCAATGTCCAACCACGTGCTCTCTGCTGAATGCCAGAACCAATCTGTCAACTCCATGGCTCTCGTCAGTTCTCGTCTTACTCGAGAAGCGCTAGAGATTTTACAGATGATGTTAGCCAATCATTTGTGTTTACTGTGTCAGGCATTGGACCTGAGATATCTGCGTAATGAGGTAAGCATTGACATTGTCATAAAAGATCAATATAAATATAATATAATTTTCGTTTTATTTTTGCGCAGTTTAATTCCCATATAAACTAGAAATACGCCAATAGCAAGTTATATTGAACATTGCTTGAGGAATTTAACACAGAATAATTATCCTATATAAGCGTGTTTTATTTTAAACCGCTTTTCAAATAACAAAAATGGGAATATATTTAGCTGATAACATTAAAGACACATCCAGAATGTCAAAACAAATGACTGTTTTTGATTGAAGGATAATTTTATTCTTTTGTAGGTGCTGGGTTCAATATATAAAATGGGAAAACGCCATAAGGAATTCCTTGCCACGTTTCTCAAAGAAAACAAATGGTATGATTTCCTGTTCCACCCAGAGGAATCTGCAGCTAAGTTTGCTGAGAAAATTCCTAAAAACGGTCACAAAGAAGAAGACATCCGCAGTGAGATATGTGGCGCTATGAAATCACTGATGTCTGATGCGTGTAACGGTCATCTAGGGACTGCTGAATGCCTAGGAAAAGGTGAGCTCTTTTGCAAATTTTAAAATGCGCGTGTATTGAGCGTTTACTCTTGAGACGTTGTCTTTGAATAAAGTCGTTTTAACGAATTGCTTAAATAAACATTTGTAGAATCGAGTCTTCGGCCGCTTTACCTATTACCAAGATATCTGATCTGACTGATTTGAGCAAACTAAGTATGAGGTTTATTTTCCTTTAGGTTCACAGAGAGCGTACTGGTACATACGTCACACGGTGGGAGTGCCATTTTACCACGGCCAGGCAGCAATAGACACGTGGCTGGAGAAGATTTTATCAGTTGTTCAAAATGGAGACTTTGAAAACGTTTTATTTTCCGTCTTTGAGGAGGCTTGATTTTCAAATTATGCAATTATTTTATAATTCAATGCACTTATTTTGTATGATATATATTTCGGAATATATATATTTACATGATCTCAACTAAATATATATGACAGGGATTCTCTTTCCGAAAAGCACGAGCTTGGGTAGGAAATTGAAATTATGTTCTAATTACGCGCTTAAAAGTTATTTAGTACGGGTAAATTGTGGCCCTTTAGATTACGTTTTACCCGTGCACAATTGTTAATTTTTTGCAGGTTGTTATTTATGCTATATTTCTAATAAGAATGGGACATGTTATTTAGTACGGGTAAATTGTGGCTCTTTAGATTAAGTTATACCTGTACACAATTGATAATTTTTTGCAGGTTGCTATTTATGTTATACTGTATTTCTATAAGAAAATTTTTTGCAGGTTGTCATCCATGTTGCATTAAGTCAATTTTCAAGTGAGGCCAGTAATTTATCATATAATATACATTACAAGATGTGATATCTGTAAGCAATTACAAGTATTTCGTTTACTTTATGAACCAAAAACTTTTTGTAATACTTTTATATGGACACGGTATTTGTATACATTTTTTCAATAAAACAACTCGAAAGGCGGAAAGCTGTTGTCCTTACGGTACTATATATAACCACTCAAACTCTAGTGTACTTCAACATACACAAATCTCATAAATATCCCCGATCCTTCCTGTTTCGTACATTGAAGAATGACTGTGAAGAATGCACTTGTGAGATAACAACTATTTGTTCTACAAAGAGTATTTTTCGTGCCGGTGTAATTTATCAACATGAACACCATGACATATTATACGAAGGAAAGACTTACGGTTTTCCTCAGTGTGCCGCTTGCGCTTTTAGTGGAAATGTCAAACCACCGACGGACGACGGGACAGGTGCACGGGATAAAATATCCTCCTCCCTTTATCACGAAATCTGGGGGAAGATAACAAGCGGCGTATGGTCCATTTCAAATATAATGGCTAAATTTCAACAAACTATCAGATATTATGTAAAAAAAATATTGAAATGTTAACCTTACTTCATCATTAAACGTCTTCTGCAGAGCACCTTTCATTTTTGTCGAGAGTACTGTTTGATAAATCTTTATCTTGACTGTATCCTTTGTTCATTGCTGGTGTACATTACATATATGTATATCCATTTATATGCCTGTAAATTACCTGTCAATAACAGCAAGAAGGGGACAATGCTTAAAAAATCAGCTGCACGTTTGGCAAAATGGAGAAAGAAAGGGAGAGAAATTCGGTATAGCAGATATGTAACAGAAGGGAGGCAGAGTTAAACAAAAGATATACGTTATATGGAGAAAATACTGATGAATCTTTAGACGGCAAAATTTAAAAAATTAAAAAAAAACATGACACATAAACATCCGATCTCCAATGAAAAAAAAATTATAGCATGGGGGGGGGGGGGGGGGGGGGTTATATAAAAAGATCAGCACAATAAGTTGGGAATACTTTGCCAAAATTAAGGTCCAAACACCTAATTACAGTGGAACAGTGCCTCTATAAGCAAACAGAGAGTGTGTGTCTAAATTCTCTCCCTGCAGTGACATTCCTGGTGGTGTGGGACATGCCAGAAAGAAAATTGGTCGTCCAGTCTACTAGTAATTAGATAGTTAGCCCAAAAGACAATATAAACAAGAATGATTTAATTCTTCTTCAGTCAACAGCCAGGTTTTTACCAGGTGAATAGCCTCTTTCAGGAGATACATTTGCCCCCCCCCCCTCATTCCCTGATGAAGATGTTCTGCTAGACATCGAAATATTGGAGGTAAAAACTCAATATTAATGTCAATATTAGCTGTAGACTGAAGAAAAATTACACCATTCTTATAACATAACACAGCTAATGAAATTCTTCTCTGACTTACAATATAAACAAGTCTAAAAAAAAAAAACAACTAAAAGGCTCTCAAAAATGAAGTGTCTTGCATCAAAGAATGCTTGAGTAAAAAACACCATACTGATAAATGGAATTTGCCTAGAAATAATGTGCAACATAAAAATCAGATTCAAATGTTTATTATTAAAGTGAAAACATATTCACACTTAATCATCGTCCATTAGTTTAAATTCCATATGACTTATTTAAGCGCAATTCAAGTCATGCTGATACCATGTTCATTTATAAAAAGATAATTTCAGATTAAAATGCTCACATTCATTTTTAATAAATACGGTATTTTTTTTTTAATTAAAAGCAAGTGTTACCCTCCAGTCCTATTTCTCACAATAAAACATAATCCAATTACCTGTGGAATTGACGAATTTTTGGATCCTGAGAAAAATTGAGTCAATATTTTTTTTAATTGGCCCACATCCCTCAACTAGCCAAGGGGTGCGCCCGCTGCCCATGCATAATTTGAATGAAAAAATACCAAACAAATAGAGGTATTTGGAATCTCGGGAATTTGAGTACGAAGACATTTGGGAGTGTGATTTCGATATACCAGTAAAAGAGATCTCCCAAATTAAACATTGCATCGACAACGTACAAATTGTCGTTCCTCTTAACCCATAACAGACCTTTAATAGTGAGAGAACAATCGCTACTCCACTGTTTTGTAGTACAAGCACGTGTGAGCAAATACGCTACATTGATGTTTGTAGTCTATGATAACAAGCACTGCTTGTACCTTGTACATTATCTCCATGTTGTGACCGCTAACATTAAAACATATAAATCGTTGATTCTTTCAGATTCATGCCTTGCTAGTATGGGGAAGAATAACGAAAGTTTAGCCTATTTTGGTAACGAATTAAAAAATAACAGCCCTTTTAGATAATATTTGGACGTCATTAATACTAACAAAATTGAGACCGCGCAAGAGGGGTAAGATGCACATTTACTTTGCTGACACATTTTGCTTTCAATTTCAAGTATATTTTTTTCACAATGCCTGGTAACCACAGTTTCTGCAAATTACTTTCTATGGGAATGCAGTGTTTCGTCTAAATGTATGTCCTGTCAGCATATTCTCTTGCTTATACCGGATAAAACTATATTGAATATTTTATTAATGACTAAAATATTACTAAAAAAAAAACGTAACGAAGGTTTTTCAATTTTTGAGAATCCAGCGACGCCATGAAAGTAGCCGCTAGCTATTTAATGAGTTAAGCCTAATAAAAAAAAAGAAAAAAAAAACATTCAAGACATTTTCCGAGAACTAAGACACCAGGCTCGCTCTCTGACACGTTGCAAAATTTCTTCTTCAGTAAAAATGAACTAGATCGATTGGAGAATGTGAGATGGCTCTGCCATCAACAGTAACGAAGGTTTAAAATTAAGTCCGTTTATGTTGTTTGCGTGAGAACAGAAAAGCTAGTAATTATTATTATTATTTTTTTTTTGTAAGTTGATACACTCATGTTAGTTAATTTCCACATGGACAAACAATTTTTCCGCTCTCTTACTTTTAAAAAATATAAAAATGTGTTAATGGAAGAATGAGTGTATTATCATTATTTTTTTTATTACGAGTGTATGCTTACTGGGACATGGGAAACAGTTAACCTCAAACATGGTAACAATTTGATTTTTTTACTAGATAAGTCTATGGCTAATTCATGACTCGATTCTCTGTTCGCGCTGAAGAAAATTACGTGAAATCTGGCGCTACGACACGCTTTGCTACAAGGACTAAGCAAGGGAAATCTTTAACCAAGCTCTGTCACTTGAAATACGAGAGTGGAATAAGTGATTTAGCATATTTTAACGTCAAGTAATTTTTTAGCATTTGTGGAGAAATTTTGTAAGAAAAATATAAGATGACACTGTTGAATTACACTTTTTTATTTTTATTTCATGAACGCTCAAGGTAAATTTGGCCAGAAGTTAAGCAGGCTAATAAGGACAACGTACAGGATTAGGGTCTATTTTGCCTATCAACTGGGCAAACAACTTCGTTACGTACGTCATGTTTTTAACCGATGACCTCGTGGAGATCAATTATAATGAGCGTGACGAGCGACAAGTAGAAGTATCATCCGATAACACTTACATGTATATCGTCATCGCTGCCTATATACAGCCCATGCACGGTTTACACTCTACGAGAAATTGAAGTGTTTAGGCAAAAATGCCCTTTACTCTGACACTGACAGTGTCATCTTCAAAGACGATTTTAGTCGTGAGACAAAGACATTTCTAAAATCCATTATGGACTCTTATTTGGTGATTGTATAGATGAGCTCAGTGAGGGGGATAACGTTAATATTACATCTTTCTTGTCTGGATGTCCCAAAAATCACGCATATGTGAGCAGAAAGGAAAAGACCGTTTGCAAAGCGCCAAGTATCAGTTTGAATTCCACAACAGCTCAATCAATCAATTATGAGACTTTGCATAACATAGTTCAAGGTATAAGCCAATAAAGAATCACTGACATTTTGTATATCTTACTTTTTGGTGACCCTATTTCGGGTTTTAGGGTTAAGAAGTTATTGAAGAAGCGCACTTGGTCTGTTTTATACATTGGATATTCATCCTCAATTGCGCATGTGTGCACAATGACAAAACTTTCCGTTTCCGCCTGGTGCGCCACCCTGTTTCGGTTTGGAATTTATGATCACTTAGCACGTAGTTTATAATATTTAGCAAGGGCTGATAAGCTGCCGTCGTTTGTGGTAATATTTAAGTAATTAAAGGCTCCTGCATAATACCCTTTAAAATATTTCAAAAGACAACTACACGCATTTCTTCAAATAAGTCCCTCCTTTTGAATTTTAACTATTTATTTTTACCTATATAATAATATATAATAATAAATTATGAATGCTTGTACTCGTATCTAACCGTGATGAGATTGGGCAGACTGTCAGAAAAAGGACCTGGTTCCGCCTCTGATATCGATGCACAATTTAGTCTTGGCCAATCCAAAAATCTATTTCAGACGCTGGGAATTTATTTTAGTAAAACCTTGGATCCTAGGTAAAACTGATGAACTCATTTTTCATTATCTAATCTAATTATATAAATGCAATATTGTATGGTTATTGGTATATCTCATTATTGTCAAGTCTCTTCATAGAGAGTGGTATTGTAAACAATAAAGAACTCTAATTTATTAATGTGATAGGAATGTAAACACTTAATTTCATCTGTCAAATGCAACGCAATGAGTCGATATGTGATGGCAGATGTCAGAAAACCTATTCAGTGAGATAATGAAGGAGGCTACCTAGCCTATATAAACGGAAAAAACACCCCACTATCAGTCCGTGCTCACTTTCTCACACTTGTAAAGTGTGAAATAAATCCACCAGCTTCACAGGTAGAGGATGGGTAATACAGTTTACGCGTATTTGATTTTGTTGGTCATCTCTTTGGTTTTAACTCAAGGATCAAACGATATTTGTGGTATGTTTAATTTTGATTTTATAAAAATAAAAGGAAATGTAATGTCATAAATTAATGATAAAATTATTAGCTTTGTAAATGTACAAAAATTATAAAGAAGTGCTTTCTAGGTCCAACTAAACGAATTTTTCTTTGCTGGGTTATGATGAATGTTATCTTAAAAGTTCAAAATTCAATAGGCCTATATCTGTTTCAGTAACAGACAATGCAGACGTTGGCTTTATGTTAGACGCGGTTGGATGGTCTGATGAGGCTGCAAGACTTCAGCAATTTATCAAGAGTATGATAAATACCTCATTTGTGTTGGGTCCAGAAAACATACGAACAGCAGTGTTTTCTATTTCACCTAGTAACACACCAAAGATGATTATCAGTCTCAACGACCCACTCACGAGCGATATTTTAGGTTTCTACATGAACAGAATTAGACTTTTCCCCTTTTTGCAAGATACTAGCACATATTGGGCGCTGTTTTTCTTGAAATCAGTTGTTCTTTATCCGGGTAATTTAGTGAAACGGACAAACGGCACAAACACCAGGAAAATTGCAGTGTTAATTACCACGCAGAAGACAGCCGATTTGTGTAGGGATGTGAGGAAGGCGGATAACGTCAAGAGTAAGGGCGCCGAGTTGTATATCATAGGCGTGGGGGCAGGGGTTGATGTCCTGGAACTACAAGCTATGGCCACAGCCCCCGCAGAAGAACATACTTTCGTCTTAAACACATTTGATGATCTTGTTAATTTTACCAGCAACTTTTCCAAGGCTCTTTGTTCAGGTAAATTATTATTATTATTATTATTATTATTATTATTATTATTATTATTATTATTATAAAACAGGTTTTATCATCCGAGTTTGGTAAATAACGATCAACATCTCTTTTTCAAATGCATGTATCTCTATTAAGTGCAGAAGCAAGGGCAATTAGCCAGTTACTATTACCCATTGTAACATTTTCCTGGCAAGGCATATGATACAATTTGTATGATATATTTTATTTTATTTTATTTTATTTATTTTTTTTTTTTTTTGTCACATATATTTGATGACAAACTGTTGAAGCAGAAATGTAGGCACCTCTTTACATTTTTCACTGCTTATTTATTCCAATGTACTTGAACAGAAAGATAACATTCTGCGGTTAGATTTTTTAATAGTAAATTTCTATCCAAAGTAACAAATTTTAACTAAGGCCATGGGTATAACTTATTCACCAGATATTCTTGTACTTGTATTATACCCCCGTCACACTAGAGGCAGAATGAGCAAGAATGTCGTCGGAAAGACAATTTTTGTGCATTCCTGGATATTCAAAGAGCATTCTAAAAATTCCGAGTGCATTCCAAATATTTTTACACATTCTTGTGGCCGGCTCGAATGTTTTGCTCATGTCAAAAACTTTTGAAGTGCATTCCAAGTGGAAAATTATCGAATGGCATTTGAACAGTATTCTAACTGCACTATGACTGCATTTTAAACATTCTCACGGCATTCTGGCAAAATTCGAAACATTCTGATCACATTCGAGGGATATTCGAACTGGCACGTGACTTAAGACCCCCGTCACACTTATCCGGAACCAGTAGGAATCAAGCAGAACCAGCCGGAATAAATTTATTGAAAATTCGAGCCATAATCGGGAAGGAAAATTCCGAATGTTGTTAGAATGCAGTCAGAAAATTCCGAATGAAATTCAAATGCCGTACGAGTGTGGTTTGACTGCTGGCCGAATACAGGCTGAAGTATGTAAGAAGGTGCCTTGAATGATATACGAAGCGAACTCAAATGCAGTCAAAATGCTCCCGGTATGGCTGCCAATGATGGTTTGAATAATAAAGAATTCAAACAGAATGCAGCTGAAATACCTAAAATACTTAAAATTACTTTCTAACATGTTTAGAATGTAACACGATGCCCAGAATGTATAAATAACGCCGCTGGAATGGTAACTGATCAGAAAGTTTCGAATGCTGTCGGAATGCCGTGAGAATATTTAGAATGCAGTCATAGTACAGTTAGAATACTGTTCAAATGCCATTCGATAATTTTCCACTTGGAATGCACTTCGAAAGTTTTTGACATGAGCAAAACATTCGAGCCGGCCACAAGAATGTGTAAAAATATTTGGAATGCACTCGGAATTTTTAGAATGCTCTTCGAATATCCAGGAGCGCACAAAGAATTGTATTTCCGACGCCATTCTTAATCATTCCGCCTCTAGTGTGACGGGGGTATAAAATCCCGCCAGAATGTTTCGAATGAGCCTCGGATGAGCTGAAATATTAATTTTGCCAGCAATAGAACTACACTAGTACGCCATTCAAAGTATACTCTAAATATTCTTACTGCCTTCTGACAGCATTATAGATATTCCTAGTTTTCCAACTACATTCAAACTGCATTTGAGAGCTAATACAGCCGAAAGTGCACTTATCATTCCAGGCGAATTCAAGCGCATTCTGAGTACTCCAACGGTACTCTTACAAGAATTAAGCTCAATATGAACTTTTTTCCCGAATGCGGTGCGAATTTTTAAAATTCCTATTCATTCTCATTCTTCTTGATTCCTGCTGATTCCGATTAAGGGTGACGGGGGTATCAAAGCGTTATGTGCGGTATAATGTAGATGTAGATGCATTACATAGGGCGCATTCAGAATTACCATGGCGCCACCCACATAAATGTGTGCCGAGATTTAATTGTTTTGCCCATGATGGGACTGCGTGCGTGAGAAGCAGGGATCCATTGTCTATCTTGAATGCACCTGCGAAATTTTAGTTGATGTACATGTACTGAAGATATATGTTGGTTTTGAAGGCTCCATTTTTTCCTTTTAGGTGACATTGCGAGCAGCACTGCAGCACCAGAAAATTCAAACTGGTACAAACACTACCAATCTAAATGTGCGGAGCCTACAACCATTCAAACCACATCATCGGGAGGCGATACAACTGTGAGTTCTGGGCACGAAATAACGTCAGTTTCTTCAGAAGACAAAACTGAATTAACCAGAGATACAAAGACCAATCTCTCAGATGTCAGCGATACCACTGTGAGTTCCGCAGACAAAATGACATCAGTTTCTGTCAAATTTGGCACCACACAAGTCCACACTTCATCATTTGTGACATCGTTGACAGTTTCACCCAAAGAAACAAAGACTAACCCTACAGTTGTCCCATCTTCAAAACCCCAAACCAGAATGCCTGACAAGAAAGAGATTGGCATAACAACGCTCTCCGCATTACCAGAAAGCGCAACGAATTCGAAAGAACACTTCACTTGCCAATGCAGCGGAGTGGACGGAGTGGTGATTGGTATTATCGCTGGCATCGTATCTGTGGTCTTCCTTGGTGGCGTGGCTGTCTTATTTGCTTACCTAAAAAAGTTGCCACAACGTATTCGAGCGAGTATGGCAGGGTTCCAAATGGAATTATAATGATAATAATAATAATATATCTACTTAAAGTCTTTTAAAAATTCATTTTAAATGTTCAGCACATTACAGCGGTAGATTTACACAATAGGATAAATAAAATGAAATAAAAAATAGCCAGCTAAAATATTAAGATAATAAATATATAGTAGTAACCCTACAGTATACATGCATAGTCAAAGTCAAATCACCTATAAACTTTAAAAATAAATATTTCAAGTTCTTCTTTTAATTGTCCTCAGCCTCTATGGTTTTCAAATTCATTGGACGACTGTTCCATTCATCAGGCTCATGAACTTGTAGAGCTAGGTCGCCATATATGGCTTTACATGGTGTCATACATACTTGATCAAGTGATTTAAGTTATGTTTTGGCGTAGTATGTTTGACGAAGTGCAATAGATAAGAGGGTGCTAATTGATAAAGTATTGCATGCATAAAAGTCAGAATTTAATAAGATACGTGCTCGAACAGGGAGTCAGTGCAATTCAGTGAATAATATATAATACAATTGTTGCCGATGATAATTATCGTTAAGGATGTGGTCCCAATTTCTCCCCCCCCCCCCCCATTTGCCCCTTCCTCCCAGAGTCCTGTGTTATTGACACGTTTGGCGTGTTCGCTTGATCGGTTTCACGTGGCAGGTCATTAGCCAGTTGCCGGCGAGGCAGTCCAAGATATGTTATCGCTGTCGGTGCTATTGTAAGAAAAAAAAAACGTTTCAATTTAGAGTCACCTGTAAGACTGCTTGGAAAATGAAAGTTTGTGTGACAATCATTCTTAATTTCATTAAATTTTATAATTATCCTCTGTACTTTTTTGTTCTTTCAAGGAGTTTTTTTTTGTGTATTTACCTTGGTTATATAATTTTAAGTTCTTTGTATTATTGTTTGTTTACCTTCATTATTATTACTCTTTTATTTGTGTAACTGTTTTCATTTAATTTTAGTTCACGGTACGATCGGTCAATAAACGACTACTTCACCATTTGGCAGTTGTTGAACAGGTGTACTTTAGAAGAATGTAAAAGCCTAATTATCTTATCATCAAGCACTATTGCTTGACTTTTGTATCGCTCAAAATACGACCTTTACTCCAAATATTTTTTATTTTACATCGAAAGGCTCGGGTAGACCAACGAAGATAAAATTTCTTAACGGAGAAAACTAGACAATTTTATACAGCTTGGTCCAAAAGGATGTTTCCATATTTGATAAAGTAGTATTTTCTACTGAAAGGATTTTTTTTTCATAGACCTATCTTACAGACATGTAAGCTTTGTGTGGTGTAATTTTTTCCTCGTACATGTATACCATCAAATTTCGAGTACAGCTCAATAGTTCATAATGTCACTGAATCACTGTGGCTTCTCGCACACTTAAGTTTACAATAATAATGTCCAATTTGTCACAGGGAACTCTCCTGATCATGACCGCCGTTCGAATGTTATCCATCAATACCTTAGGGATTGTAAGCAGAAGCACTGTCTTTTCGGTAATTCTTCAAAGAGGACCATTTTATGATCAGTATTTTTTCACATCGAACAACAGTGCCGCATCGTTACTCAGAATTCAGCTCGAAACGAGCAGCCATAATGTTCGTACGTAGTGCACAAAATTATCAGTTTCAGTAAGCCCCTAGTTACATAAATTAATGTTCCACGTTAAATAAATATACTAAAACTTATTATAAAATCGCTGGAATATTTTTAGCTTTAAGTAATGATTGTATTACTAGTGCAAACTAAGCTCTCATATATGGCACATAAATGTAAGGCCACCCTTCATCTCTTGCATAGGTCTACATGCCTGTTCAGAACCAAGCTGATCCGCTAACTATTCTGGAAAAAAATTGGACTAAGCCGCCTGACTAAACACAAGTATCACATTTTCTGCATTTTCTTTGGCCCAATTTGGCCTAAGCATAGAAAATAAGTTTCATAAATAATAATTCATGTTTAGAGGATAGTAAATGATAGTTTTTTAAAAAGATTTCAACAAGGGAGAATAAACAAAAGTAACCTGCAGAACAAACAATTCGATCTAAATTTATATCAGTCTGAATCGTTAATTCCTTTTGAAGAATCTGTGACACCGCCGACGAATCTCAGTTTTGGGCGTGCTTTGAATCACAGGTTTTGTTACTTTCTTTCAATATCCCATGACAGTCTGTGAAACCTGAAGACGTGTTTTATGGTGGATAAAGACTCACCATGTTAAAGCCATTGATAGATAGCAAGTATCACTTTCTTATCTTCTTATAAGAACTAGCGATTACTTTAGTTTATTGCATTTTTTGACACACACAATTCAGCCCTGACTTATCGAAAAGTAAACTTGGGACGCTGGAAATTTATTCTAATAAAATTGATAAATTAATTTTTCATTGTCCAATCTATTTCAATAACTGCAATATTATATGGTAAATATACTTATATATTTACCATATAATATTGCAGTTTTATGGTAAATATATACGTATATATCATGATACACTGCCATTATACACTCGATTAAAAAAGTATGGAAACATGAAATAGTTCTTCAATAATTAGAAAACTATGTTATGTAGTGGGAAAATCAAATAAAAAATAACGAATGGTTGGTGCATTATCCAGCATTATTTGGTTGAAAATTTAGCCGTATCTCACGTCGTTATTCTATAATTATGCAAAATAACGATGTTTTCGAATTTTTTGGTCGAGTGTAGAAAGTGGTATTGTGACCAATAATGGACTGTGATAGGGATTTGAACACTTAATTAATCTATCGAATAAAAAGAACGCAACTTCAGTTGTATTTGATAACTTCACAGATACTCAAACCAAATCTTGTAAACGTCCCTTCACGAATCAAAATGAGTCGATAGGTGATGTCAGATGTCAGCAGGCCTATTCAGTTACATAATAAAGAGGGCTACTGAGCCTAGATAAGCAATTAATAACACCCCGCCGTCAGTCTGATTGATTTTGTCGGTCATCATTTTAGTTTTAGTTTTAGCTCGAGGAGACAACAACATTTGCAGTACGTATAGTTTTGATCTTATATATAAAAAGAGAAAGGCATTAGCAGTTCGATTTGACGAAGAGCCTTGAAAAAGTACACGCATATATGATCTAATATCAAGAAGTCTACTCTTGATCCGACTGATATGTTATAATTAATGAATTTTCTTTGCTGGCTTGTTATAAATATTATTCTAACAAGCTAAAATTTTAATATATTTGTTTCAGTGACAGATAATACGGACGTTGGCTTTATGTTAGACGCGGTTGGATGGTCAAATGAGGCTGCAAGACTTCAGCAATTTATCAAGAGTATGATAAATACCTCATTTGTGTTGGGTCCAGAAAACGTACGAACAGCTGTGTTTTCTATTTCACCTTTTAATAAGCCAGAGAAAATTATCAGTCTCAACGACCGACTCGCGAGCAACTTAGTAGACTTACACGTGAACAAAATTACCCTTCGTCAATTTTCACAAGATACTAACACATATTGGGCCCTGTTTTTCTTGAAAACAACTGTTCTTTATCCCAGTAATTAAGCAAACCAGACAAACAGCACAAATGCCAGGAAAATTGCAGTTCTTATTACCACGCAGAAGCCATCTAATTTGTGCAGGGTTGTGAGGGAGGCGGACAACGTCAAGAATAAGGGCGCCGAGTTGTATATTATAGGCGTGGGGGCAGGGGTAGATGTCCTGGAACTACAAGCTATGGCCACAGCCCCCGCAGAAGATCATACTTTCGTCTTAAACACATTCGATGGCCTTGTTCGTTTCACCAGGACTTTTTACAAGGCTCTTTGTTCAGGTATATTCTTTTTCTTTTTCTTATTATTGGTAATAAAGACATCAACACCGGCGTTAACACCCGAGTTTAAAAATGCCGATCAAGAATGAGCATCGGTTTTCAAATTCTCTTGAAATATACAAACGGGGGCTGTTACCCTATTACTCTCATAAACATCCATAAATAACTCCCTTTTCGTGAGTGACATTATCCAATTTGTGCTCCATGTTTTGTTTCGTCATTTTTGATTTTTTTGGTCATATCTTAGATGACAAACCGCTGATTCTGAAAGAAACCTAAATAAACTCATAACGTTTTTATTGCAACATGCTTTGGTTAAGAGATTACATTTGTTTTGTGTTAAGGATTTCAACAATTATATAATTCAAAAATATATTATACAACTTTGTCAATGATGGGATTTTCTTGTGATAAGCGCTATTTATATACTGTAAAGATGTATACACGAGAAGGGGCAACACTCTCCCTTTCCAATTCGAAATATCAGCTTAAGATTCAGCCAAAGTCTTCTTTATAGAGGGGAAACCGCAATGTCGATATTCTGATTTCCCAGCTTAGGTTAATGTACCAAAGATATTGTTGGTCGCAATTTATTTTGAAAACTTCGTTCTTCCTTTCAGGTGACATTGCAAGCAGCACTGCGACACCAGGGACTTCCGACTGGTACAAACACTACCAATCTAAATGTCCAAAGCCTACAACCATTCAAACGACATCATCGGGAAGCGATACAACTGTGAGTCCCGGGCACAAAATAACCTCAGTTTCTTCAGAGGACAGCACTGATTCAACCAGAAGAACAAAGACCAACCCCTTAAGTACCAGCGATACCACTGTGAGTTTTGTGGAAAACATAACATCAGTTTCTTCACAGGACAACACTGATTTCACCAGAGGAACAAAGACCAACCCTTCAGATGTCAGCGATACCACTGTGCGTTCCGGGGGCAAAATAACATCAGTTTCTGTCAAATTTGGAACCACACAGGACCACACTTCACCATCTCCAACAGTTTCACTCAACCCTGCAGCTGCCATATCATCTAAAGCACCACCTAAAATGCCTGACAAGAAATGGATCGGTACGACACCAATAGCCACAGAGCAAGAAAGAGCAACGAAAGAAAACTTATCATGCCAATCCAATGGAGTGGAGGGTATAATGGCTGGTATGCTCGCCGGTGTCGTGTCTGCAGTTGTCACTGGTGGCGTGGCGGGTTTGGCCGTTTACCTAAAAAAACGGCCGCTAGGTGTTCGACCGAGTATGTTAGAGAACCAATGAAAGTGAAGCATAAAAGTGAAGAAAAACAGAAAGCGGACTCAATGTGCGAGAAGGATGTTAGAGGATGATAGAAGCTTCTTTATCAACTCAGTGGATGATAAATGGAACAATACTGTAGCACTGTAAATAATCTTATCACCAAGACATGCAATTGCTTGACTTTTTTCAAACAAATGCGACCTTCACTCCAATTATTTTTCTGTTTTAAATTCGAAGGTTCAGATAAGGGTGGTGAGGAAAATGTTTCTTAAAAAGGAAAACCAGGTACAATTTTGTGTATTGTTAATGAAAGGGAACGGTGTTTTAATCGCTAGTTCAGTAGTGTTGTGTTTTAGGGAGAGTTCGAAGAATTTTATTGCAAACAAAATGTAATCGACGTATGTTAAGATACTTCATAGTATACATGTATGACCACTTCACGTGATAAATACCCTAATTTTAGTGATAAATCTACTTCTTAGGATAAAATGCAACTTCATCTCCAAATAAGATATTGTGTGCGACTTTATGGGGCAATGATGAGAAAGCCCCTATTACAGGCCCTACATTTTGAAAGATAATGTTTTTGAAAAATCATGTTTTTGTACTGTAAACATTATCCAACATACACGGTAGTTAAATTGTATGTCTTAATTATATTTACAAACGTGTATGCCTGAAAGGATTTCTGTATAAACATTACTGCCATTGGGTGTATTGCTTGAGGTATAATCGTCACATGTATAACTGCAGAGGATTGATCCAAGTAATTTCAAATAGCATCGATGTTTCTGCTGTTGAAAATACACGTTTGAGTAAAATTTGCTATTTGTCCATACAGACTGTAGAGTGGAAGTAAACACCCATGTTTTTCACACGTGGAAGATATTTCAGTTTAGAGTCACCTATAAGACTGCTTGGGAAATGAAAGTTTGTATGACAATCATTCCTAATTTTATTAAATTAATAATTATCCGTTGTATTTCATTGTTCATTCAAGGAGTTTCTTTTTGTATTTACCTTGGTGATGTAATTTTAAGTTCTTCGTATTATTATTTGTTTACTTTCACTATTGTGACTATTTTATTTCTGTCACTGTCCTTATTTCTGTACCTGTCTTTATATATAAGGTCAATAAACGACTACTACCATTCTTCAGTTGTTGAACAGGTGCACTTAAGAACAATGTTAAAGCACTACTATCTTATAATCAAGTACTGTTACTTGGCTTTTGTATCACTCAATTATTTTCTTTTTTTTTTTACATCGAAAAGCTCAGGTAGACAGGCGAGGATAATATTTCTTAAAGGAGAAAACTAGACAATTTTATACAGCTTGGTCTAAAAATATGTTTCCATATTTAATAAAGTAGTATTTTCTACTGAAAGGAAAACTTAATTTTTTTCATAGACCTGTCTTACAGACATGTAAGCTTTGTGTGGTGTAATTTTTTCCTCGTATATGTATACCATCAAATTTCGAGCACAGCTCAATAGTTCATAATGTCACTGAATCACTGTGGCTTCTAGCACACTGAAGTTTACAATAATAATGTTAAATTTGTCATAGGGAACTCTCCTGATCATGATCGCCGTTCGAATTTTATTCTGGAAAGCATCAATAGCTTGCGGATTGTAAGCACAGACACTGTCTTTTAGGTATTGCCAAAGAAAATAGTCCAAAAAAGATAGGACTGGAGGATGAGCAGGCCAAGGGACGGTGACTGATTTGAAACTTACTGGAATTGGCAATTACCAGCACTGTTACACATCAGTATCACGTGCACTAATGTAGGCACATGCTACAGCAAACATTAGCGGTGTTTCTTTTTGATAAAGTAGGCTAGGGGAAGAGGCTGTCTTGTATAATAATCAACATGAACTACACACATTCATATATGATAAATATCAATTCCGGTTGTACATGGCCAAGTGAAGTAGATTATCATCAATTGATTGTGCCTGCTGTACATTTTTATTTATTCATCTATGAAATGAAAATTAATAACTTTTAAAGAAACCATTCCTGCAATTCCCTGCACCAAATCGTTTCAACAAAATCAATATACATGTACATTGAGACAAGCATATGTTGAACATGAGTTTTTATTGACTGAAATCAATATATCGGTGAATTGGTAGTATTTAGAGTTTTTGTTTTACTTTTATATGGACACAGTATTTGTATACATTTTTCAATCATAACTAGAAAGGAGAAGAACGGTTTAACTGTTATACGTATATATAATCATTCTAATTCTAGTGTACTTGAACATCTACAAATATCATAAACATCCCCAAATTTCCCCTTTCTTTATGTTTAGAAGCAACTGTGAAGAAGAGATTCGTAAATGTTGATAGTTATTCTTTCTACAAGGAATATATTCCGTGTGAATGTAATTACCAACCTGAACATTATAACAAATTATATGACGGAAAGTCTGGCGGTTTTGATAGAAGTGCTGGCTACGCTTTTAACCATTTGACCTGAAGACTGGCAATAAAATAAGCTCTGTGTATTAGGAGGCTGGAATGATACAGCAAGCAGACGTATTGTGCACAACCACATACATTGCAATCAATAAAGAGCAATTGTCACAACCGAACTTCACACTTAACACAATCATGTTTTCTAAATAAACTGTAATAAAATTCTTGTAAAGGGAGGTTCTAGTTTCAGATCTTCTATCTAATGCTGTAGGAGGAGATAGTGGAAATCACAAAGTGATAAGAAAAGAATTGTTATTCCCAGGTGCACCCTAATTCCGAAATGTAGCCTACATTGCTGATGAGGGGCAATCCCAAAATTCCGATTTCCTCACTTTAATTGCCTTAGAGGAGATAGCGGAAATTTCAAACGCACGGACGAACAGAGGAACAGATGCACGGACGGGTGGGATAACATGATTCTCGACCTTTTCCACGAAAGTGTTGGGATAACAAGCGGCATATGCCCCATAAAAAATCACCCTATTTCTAGCGTATTAAAATAAAGATTTTCGCAGCGTATGTAATTTCTTTTTTCACTCAAAACATTTTATCTCCCTCCCTACTTTTGCCTGCGTACTGGAGACGTACGGAATAAGATTAACGAATCCCTTGCGTTTCTCTGCGTATGGATAATTTTTCTCATACATGTACGTTAGTGCTATACGCTAAGTACAACAGTACCTTAACGGCAGTCGTTGTCAAGATGCACATATAAACAAACTTTTCACCAGCCTTGCCACTAAAAAAATCCAAGAGAATCTAATAAAACATTCCGCTTATGTAATGAAGATAGATATTACTATCTGGTGTGTACATGTACCACATGCATTGTGAAATTAGAAGACGCGTCGTTTAGATACCATGTATCAGTTTCTTATCTTCTAATAATATCCCGCGACTACTTCACTGTATTGATACATATAATCCAACCTTACGATTTATCCCAAAGTAAACGACAGCACTCTAAACTTGTTTCAATAAAATTGACAGATTTATTATTAATTGCCCAGCCTCTTTCAAGCTTATGAGACAGGCGCTCATTGCAGTAGCGAAGTCAGATTATGTGATACTTCTAACGACTGTATAATTACTGCACGTGACTGTTTATGTCATTCATTAGTTATACGCCATATATACATAAATATATGCGTGCAATTTAAGCACAAAATATCAGCTGATAACGGGGAGGGACATGTCTTTGGGTACCAATCCTTTTGATAGCAATTGAAAAGTAGACAGTCGGTTTCAGCTTTGGTCTGATACCTGTACATGGAACAGCACTAGGTGAAGAAATGATACGTTTCTGCCACAACATTAAGGTCTGACAGAAAAGTACATGTCTGCAGACACAAAATTTTAGTGACTAAATAATACAGGTTGCGTTTAAGACAAACTATTTCAAAGTTCACTTTAACACCCTGCACCTTAGCACAGAAAATAAATTTCATAAATAATAATTCATAGTTTGAGGATAGAAAATGTTAGATTTTGAAGACTTCAATTGTGGAGAATATACGAAAGTTACCTACGGTCCAAAATATCGATCTAAATTTACATCAGTCTGAAACATTAATTCATATTGAAGAATTTTTGTACCCCTACAGACGAATCTCAGTTTTGACCATGATTTGAATCACAGGAATTAAACTGTGAGTTTTGTTAGTTTGTTTCAATAACCCATGACAGTCAGTGAAACTTGAAAGAGTGTCTTATGGTGGATAAAGACTCATCATGCTTAAGTCTTAAATAGATAGCTAGTATCACTTTCTTATCTTCCAATAAGAACCGACCACTACTTCACTTTATTGACACACACAATTCAGCCCTGATCATGACTTATCCAAAAGTAAACCTGGGACGCTGGACATTTATTCTAGTAAAATTGATAAATTCATTTTTCATTGCCCAATCTATTTCAATAACGGCAATATTGTGTGGTATATATCTTTATTGTCGAGTGCCTGTATAGAAATTGGCTTTGTGACCAATAATTAAGTCTAGTTCATAACTGTGATCGGGATTTAAACACTTAATTTCACCTGTCGACTTAAAGGAACACAGCTGCAATCGTGTTTGATAACTTCACATAACCTCCTAGTTTAAGAAGCATTTCTGTTTTGTAGCAAGTTTGACAAATGAATACTTTTAAAACAAAATTTTGTCAACCAGTCGGTAAAATGTCCACAAATCAGAAGGAATCGATAGGTGATGGCAGATGTCAACAGACCTATTCAGTAAGATAATAAAGGAGGCTACAGAACTTAGATAAACACTTAATAAGATCCCGCTATCAGTTGGCTCTCACATTCTCACACTTGTATAGCATCAACTTACTTTAACTAAATCCACCTGCCTAAGTCGAAGGTAGACGATGGGTGAAAGAATTTACGCGTATCTAATTTTGTTGGCCATCCCTTTGGTTTTGACTCAAGGAGCAAACGAAATTTGCGGTACGTATAATTGTGATCATTTATGATAAAAGGAAAATGACACTAGTAACCGTCATATTAATTAAAGAATGGTCAAAGACCACTGAAAAGGTACACACGTATACATTTATAATCCAATATCAGGAAGTCTTCTCCTGATCTAATTGATTGGTTATTATTTGCTTGGTTATTATGAATGTTACATTCACAAATTCAAAATTCAATATATTCGTTTCAGTGACAGACAATGCAGACGTTGGCTTTATGTTAGACGCAGATGGTGGGGCAAATGAGAGTGCAAGAATTCAGCAATTCATCACCAGCATGGTCAATGCTGCTTTTGTGTTGGGCCCGGAAAACGTTCAAATAGCAATATTTTCTGTTTCACCGATTGGTAATACGCCTAAGCCCTTTATCATTCTCAATAACAGACATTCGAAGTCTTTATTAGACTACTTCATCGGAACAATACAACTTAACTCGTTTATGCCAAGCTCCAGCACAAATTTCGCCCTATTATTTTTAGGATCAGTTGTTCTTTATCCACAGAATTTAGCGGATCGAGCGAATGGCACAAATGCCAGAAAAATTGCAGTGCTTATTACCACGCAGAAGACATCCGATTTGTGTAGGGCTGTGAGGGAGGCGGATAGCCTGAAGCAGAGGGGTGCCGAGTTGTATATTATAGGCGTGGGGGCAGGGGTTGATGTCCTGGAACTACAAGCTATGGCCACAGCCCCCGCAGAAGAACATACTTTCGTCTTAAACACATTTGATGACCTTGTTCATTTTACCAGCAACTTTTCCAAGGCTCTTTGTTCAGGTAAATTACAACAACAAGAAGAAGAAGAACAACAAAAATAATAATAATTGTGAAAAAACTCTGCTGACTGAAAGACACCTCATTATACTCTTTCATTGCCTTTTTTTGCAATTTTTTTAAATTAAAAAATGACCCTTGTTTTGTGTTGAGGATTTCAATAATAAATTTTTTGTCCAAACATATACATTTTACCTACGTCACAGACATGTTAACTTCTTATTGACAAGTCTTTCTTGTATTTAAGCGAATGTATAGAGCACTGCATAGACGAATGTAGGATGAGAGTCCATCTCTCCTCTTTTCCAAAATAAAACTCCAGATCAAGACTCCCGACTCTAACTTAAGGGGGTGTGAAGCGAGTGAAAATGTTTAAAGACCTTCAAAACACCCCAAATTACACCTTATTTTTCTTCTTAGCGGGGATACTTTCATGCCGATATCTAGATTCCCCCTGCTAAATTTTAGTTAATGAAAGATATTGTTGGGTCCATTATTTATTTTGATCATAATTTTCCTTTCAGGTGGCACCACAATCAGCACTGCAGCACCAGGGACTTCAGACTGGTACAGACACTACCAATCTAAATGTCCAAAGCCTACAACCATTCAAACGACATCAACGGCAAGCGATACAAATGTGAGTTCCGGGTACAAAATAACATCAGTTTCTTCACAGGACAACACTGATTTAACCAGAGATACAAAGACCACCCCCTCAGAGGCCAGCGATACTACTGTGAGTTCCGGGGACAAAATAACGTCAGTTTCTTCACAGGACAACACTGCACCATATGTGATGGCAAGGACAGATTCAACCAGAGACATAAAGACGAACCCAGTAATTGCCAGCGATACCACAGTGAGTTCCCGGGGCAAAATAACATCAATTTCTTCCAAATTTGTCACCCTTCTGGACAACACGTCAGCATCTGTGACATCGTTGACCGTTTCTCTCAGAGAAACAAAGACCAACCCTACAGAAGCCCTATCTTCCAAAGCCTCACCCAGAATGCCTGATAAGACAGGTATAGGGACGACACCAATCGCCGCAGAGCAAGAAAAATCCACGAAAGAAAACTTATCAGGCCAATCGAATGGAATGGACGGTATGATGATTGGTATAATCGCCGGTGTCGCGTCTGCAGTTGTCATCGGTGGCGTGGCGGGTTTGACTATTTACCTTAAAAAATCCCCGCAAAGTGTTCGACCAAGTATGTTAGAGAACCAAATGAAAGAGAAGCATAAAAGTGAAGAAAAACAGAAAGCGGACTCTATGGTGGATGTGATGATATAGGGTAATAGAAGCTTTCTATCAACTCAGTGGATGGTAAATGAAACAATATACTGTAGCCTGTATATAATCTTATCATCAAGACATGCAATTGCTTGATTTTTGTCAAAAATGCGACCCATATTCCAATTATTTTACTGTTTTACATTGGATGGTTTAGATAAGGGTGGCGAGAAATTTTTTTCTTAAAGAGAAAACTAGATACAAATTCTGTGTATGGTTAATGAAACAGAATGTTGTTTTAATCGCAAGTTCAGTAGTGTCAGTTTTAGGGACAGTTCGAGGAATCTTAGCCCAAACAAAACGTCATCGACGATATGTTCAAGTAATAACCGACCACCACACTTCCGAGTTTCTAAAATCAGATGCAAGGATTAAGTTTATAGTACTTAATATATTGAACAGTCACATGCAAATTTTCAATTTTGAAAATTTTTCTGGGTTTTCTTTATTATTTTAGATGATGTAACATGTTTACGAGACAGATCAAACTAGGAAAAAATGGCACAGTTATTAGCATGAAAATACCCAAAAGTAAAACAGCAGTTCGTACAGTAAAACGACCATTCATTTCTTACAGAAATGTGATTAAAATCCAAAGTTCGCACTTTTTTATTTGTCTAAACGAAGCTGTTTCTCATTAAACCTTGAATCGTCTTCTGTGCATTTTATTTATTAATCTGTGCGTATTTTCGCATGAAAGTAAAGACTTTCTGTATTTTCCACTTCTGTGTTTGGATTGCTTGCATTAAGAAAAACATGGCATGGGATATAAAAATTCTTTGGTGGAATTAAACGTCCGTTGCATAGCCTTTGCTATTGGTTAAATGTTAAAAAGTTTTCATCATTAACGCTAGCTAATGTATAATGTATATCATAATGAACAGTTCGTCAACAATTTTTCAGTTTCATTCAATGCTTGTATGGTAGTACCATGTAAATGATGTTACCTTTAACTCTACGTTATTTTAGAACGTATGCTTTTTCTTCACTAGCAGATTTTTTTCGCTAAAAATCAAATAATGATTATATAAGTATATTTTCTCAACTCAGTGAATCAACGGCTGAAAATGCAATGTTATTAATAGTAGTTTCGGTGTGAAATGCAGTCTGACGGGATAGGTCTGCAAAACTAACCTTCCTGGAAAAGCACATGAACCCTGCTTCGGCACTGTTGTATAATCTGTTAATTGTACAATTTTACAATGTTATGATATCAAAATACACAGGGAAAATAGATGATGTCGCTTAAAGGGATAATAACTGTTCGTTTTGGCCAAAAAAAAATGAATTTTCCTGGAGTAAACAACAATTTTCCCATACTTACCAATGGTTAATGAATCCATTTTTACATTGAAAGTTAGTCCCTGGTTTTTTTTCTAAAAAGTTTGTTTTTTTGTTATAATCTCTTAAGACATGGTCTAAAGACAAGCTCAGATATCAGAATAATAGCTATGACTGCCGTTTTTATGGTAAAACAGAATATATTATATTTCTATGAGTTGTTCACAATGTTTTTATTGTGAAATATAAATCTCATACAAAGAGTTATTATCCCTTTCAGTAGCTGCGTGGTTCAGTGTGTATAAATCATGTGTATAAGATATTTTCGTCATCATCCAAATGTACTTAAGAATAAACAACTATGAAAACAAAATTTTAGACAGGATAAACTCTCCGACATGAACATATAGATCTACATGGCTGTTTGTTATTTGATTGCATTACGTTATCTTTCCCTATAGTCTAGATGACTGGTGCAAAAATTGCTCAAAAGATGGAAAAAGCATGAAATTTGGCACAAATGTTCTTTGGACTATGCTGATCATTTTCAAGGGCAGTGCCCAAAATTTCAAAGCGTTGCTTAGCAACAGTTGTTAAGGAAGTGATTTACCTTAGTAACAAGCTAATTGCACTTTTCTTGTTCAGTTTAAATGATTTAAAAAGGCTTTTAATAATGTTTCAAACCATCAGAACTATCACTATACTATTTTAAGACATTAAAAACCCAAGTAAACCATTGCAACAGTTGCTAGGCAGCATATTACCCTAGCAACAAGTATTTAACATTGTATATTTAATAATATATATTTAATAATATATATATACAGATATCTCTGTAGCATTTTACATACCCTCCAGTTCCTTCCCATCTTTCTGTTCCCATTCTGAAACATATACTTACATGTTTCTTAATTATTAAGATAGGTACATTAATAGTGTATGCTTGCACAAACCCAAAAACACATGTCTCCGGGAGATGACCACACCTAAATTATCTTTAGCGGGGCAAATGATGCACATCCAAACATTTTTTACATGTGGACAATCCCAAAAAACGTACAGAATATTTTCCCTAGCAGTATTGCAAAATTCTCAAATTCATAAGATAAGCATAAGTATTGAATATTCTATTATTTATTCTGAATTGGAGCAACTTCATTTTCTTGTGATCCGTTTCTTAAATGTTAGTTCCCAATTATCAGTACTCAAGGTTTTTTAAAAATATGTCTGCCATTCACTTACACCTTTATCTGGTGATATTATATGGCTTTGGAGGATTTTTTTGCGAAAATGGATGGTTTGGTAACTTGTTTAATTGAGTCCATTATTTCTTGGAATGCTATGTGTAATTTTCGTCCATGGGAAGAGATAGCCATTCAAATGGTAAGCTCTTTTGAATGCTGAATTAGCCCAGAAAGTAAGTGTCAATGTTGATTTTTTGTTGAGTTCGTCTAGAGAGAGGGGATTTCTAATGTCATTTATAATATCATTGATGTAAAAAAAAATTTTACACCATCTTTTATGGAAATAATTTTTTAATTTCTTTCAATTTTTGAGTTTTGACATAATGGTTGTGATAAGATTTCATCTGGGGTTAAATTGAAATTTTCCTGAATTTCACTCAAAGAACCAATAATCTTTGCCAAAAGGGATAAGAAGTTGCTTTTAGTATTTTTAACCCACCTTTTGTTACTACCGATTCCTGACATTTCGCCGAGAAAAACGCTCTTCACTTACTCTTATTTTCTTCACAAAGAAGTCTTTTAAGCCATGTAAAGTTTAGGGCNGATTTCCAAGTTATTTTTCATTTTGTTCAATATTTTCTAAAAAGTTTTTTCACATTGTATTTTGTCAGTTTCTATTCTCTACCAAGTAACTTACATACACCTGCATGGTTCTATTTTAATTCTTTTTGTTAATCAATGAAGTTCAGAAGTTTCTGCTCACACCCAAAGGCCGTTAGATGCCATATCTTACTTCCACCAAGGCTGCTCTACAACAATATAAGAGTATTCTTGCGAGATGAACATATCTGAATCAGCACTACGGTGCCATGTCATCAGATACCATTTGCTCACTCTGGTTGGACTTGTGCGGAACAGTGGGCCTTTGTGGACACATTTGCCAGAAGCTATTGACCTGCCCAGAGTTGCTCCAGTGTGCATGTAGGTGCAGATGTAGAGGCTGACAATGTGCAAGAGCAAAATGCACTGTATAGTGCACATACAAGGGAGAATTTAACGTCTTAACTATTGCAAAGTTTTATAAAGAGCCGTAAGGTGATAAAAGCATGGAAATGGCTGGTTACTAACTTTGAACATGCTGCCTTAAGTATCTGCACTGGCAATGTATTTGATCGGATGTGTGTAAACACACAATTGGTTCAACTTACTGGATTAAAAGTATGAACATCTTGCTCAAAAGTGTAGTTCTTAGCTAGTATAAAAGATTTGCCTTACTTAATAGACTAACGCAACTTTAAATGCTTGTTGCTAGGGTAATATGCTGCCTAGCAATCGTGGCTAAGGTTGATTTGGGTTTTAATTGCCTTAAAATAGTCTAGTGATAGTTCTGATGCCCTGAAACATAGTTATTAGCATTTCTAAACCTTTTAAACTGGACAAGAAAGGTCTAATTAGCTTGTTACTAAGGAAATTCACTTCCATAGCAACGGTTGCTAAGCAACGCTTTGAAATTTTGGGCACTGCCCTTGAAAATGATCAGCATAGACCAAAGAACATTTGTGCCAAGTTTCATCCTTTTTCCACATTTTGAGCAATTTGGCCAAAATATAGCACCAGTCATCCAGACTACTACACTATAAATTCAGTTTACGAGAATTAACTATCTCGTATCCAGCAAAACAGTTCTAAAATTACCACAGCGGATTCTTTTTATCTTTTATGACCCTGTCTCCGACTTTGATAACGGAAAGTTTAATAAAAAAAAAGAGCCAGGTACCCCTTATTAATGTGGTGTCCACGGAGTAAAATACACATTAAAGTAAGATGTAAACTACAATGAATGAACAACCATTTGTATATCACTATTGAATTGCTCTGATAACAGGGCATGCTCGATATTCTAATCTTACCTTTTTGTCAAAAGCTTGCGAAACGGTTCCATCGTCAACAATTTATCATTCGGTTAAGGGCATGGGTACGAATTATCAGAGAGAAATACTCCGTGAAACATACTATGATAGCGTAATGTATACTTTTCCTTATAGTTGTCAACGTCAACTTCCCCGCATTAATTTGACAACGCATTATAAATTGAACGCCTTTATATCACATTTTGAATATCTCAACATTCCCAAATGACAAAAGGCATTAAGTATTGCAGCATGATTGTAAAGTTATTTCGATTGAAGGGGGTCTAGTTGTTGGAACGTAACATTTGTTGCAAACCACTTACTCATTTTTACTTTGGTGCACTATCTGCATAGTTTTGACTTGCCCGGAGTCCATTATTTTTCATGTTTTATACAGAAGTACCCTCGAATGTGGAAATAATTCAACGGTAATTAAAAAGCGCTTTAAAATACTTAACTATATGCTAGTTTTATACAAAATGGATGCACCTCTGAAGTTGACTCAAATATTCACTATTCTGGTGGAATGTCCCGTAGATTATATGCATGTGATTATCTTAGTAATTGGTGAAGTTTAAAAAAATTAGATAAAGTATGTAACAATGTTCATCAATTGAAATATAATTTCTTTATGCTGATACGAAATAAAATCGCCCCCGTTGCTCTTAAAATCCAGTCCATTTGTACATTAATTAGACCATGAGGAATTTTTGTGTAAGCTATCTTTATAGGACCTAAGTGGTGTTGCTTATACTATAATCAGGTCGATATGTTTATCACGTATGAATACAAAAGTTGTCAATTGTTATATTGACCGTAGTTATAGATGTGTCCATAGTAAACATTTCTCAAGAAATAATCAATGTGCCGGGCAACGTAGGTTATTAAAATGCCAAATAACTCATTTATATAGATCGATCACTGCGGCCAATAAGCGTCCACTAAGCTGATGTAGGGCTGTGTTAAAGTCAAACGGACGCATTAAGCTTGATTAATTGTGTGTAACGCTGACAAATGAGAAGACTGATTAGAGACACTGTGTCATAAGTCCCCTCCTGACATGGCGTCTTCCGATGATACTGACCTGGCAGAGATAGCGGCCGGGAGGAGGAGGTTCGCCTGTCTTATGACATTATTAATGGAGTATGGAGGCGACGTTGTTAAGGATGTTTTGGGGAAACAACTAGCATTGGAATATCCAACGCGGTACGACAGCGACAGAAAATGCTTTGAAAAAGTTTTGATGTTTCATTCCGTGAAGACGACACTGTTTAGCTTGCCTCGGACATATTTCAACTTGTGTCTGAAGGAGCAACTGTATCCGAATGGAAAACCTTGTCCAGGTATTTCCTTGGAGCAGATAGACATTGCAACCGCTGTGAAATTGTTGTTAAACATAACGTCACTGAACAAAAAAGCAAAGGCCTGGATACGCCCTAGTCCTCGTGATGCAGCTGTTCGCGCTTTGCTATCTCGCATGAAAACGCACAGGGACATCATGCACACTTACGCCAATGGTGCCTCCTCACTCAGCCAGGCAGACTTCCTGAAGCATTTTGAAAACATAAAAAACATTCTCCTGCGACTCTCTCCGTTATATAGAAAGCAAACATACGATGCTATAATGAAAGACGATGCCAGCATCGGGTCGCTGGGTGAGCACATCGAATCCCTGCAAATTTGGTGTTCGGACATTGAACGAGCAAGGACAGCGCCTGCGAGAACAGGCATTACCAGCTCTCACGTGGTTGATACCCTGTAATACAGCTACACAACTGACTAGTAAAAGATCACTTGCAACTAGGGTTTCTTAGCTGTTTAATGGGAGTTGGCGAATCGATTAACATGTGCAATTATCAATATCTCCACAATGTAACAATATTTCCCATACCTTTATAACATGGTATAATTTCGGCTTTTTTATGAATGTTAAATAGCGGATGCTACTGCATTCTCATATCATGTTCCGATGCGACAGCATTTAACGTGCGCATTATTGTTAGATAGGTGACGTAAAACATTGTCGATAGATGTGACTTGATCATCAGTCAATTAATGAGGTAGGAGATGTATGTATGTAAGTTATGCGGCAGTGAAGTAGTGTCTCTGTAGTTTTGTAGCTAATACCACATCAAGCCACAATTTAAAAGCAAAGTGCATGGCAAATGAGCTACAATGTACAAAGAGTCTTCCCTTGTACTCAAGTATTTGTTCAATAATCAATCGAGTTGATACCAGCATTTAAAGAACACAAGTTTAATTATTGGCATTTTTCTTTGGGTCTATTTACTATAATGGCGTGAAATATAAGTCAATTGATATCAACTTTATTTTGATATTGAAATGAGCTTTCGTTTTTACAAAGTGACTTATGTACGTACACAACAGACCAGACTCACCAAGATCCTTGGTTGCAATGCTCTTTATTTGTCACTAATAAATTTACAGTGTGTACAGATTTCATCTTATACAACATGATGATTGTCATCTTTCTTGGTAAAAACGGTCATTTGAAGCAGCTATGCTCAGTTATGAATAAAATGAAAAATACAGTTTTGAAAATCAAAATTTCACTGTAGAGCTCTTCATTAAAAGATTTCGTCCTCATACAAGTCTTGATTCAGCTTGCACAGTACACATTTATTAAATCAAATAGTGTAAAATATCATAATTATGTAGAACTGTACTTTGTACAAAGATATACATGCACAATGATAGTGATCAAATATTTTTTCTCCAACGCACCCCCCTTTCTCTGATACACGCACCCTTGTTAGAGATGTTCTATTTCTCATCCTAAGAAAACGCCCTGTGAATAAACATAATACTTTACAAGATCTTTATATTGTGCTTTGAAATGTACCATTTATTAAACAGCAAACTCAAAGTGACATATTTCAAATTGTGCTCTTTAATAACATAAACAATACAGTATTATCAACTGATTTACCAGTTAATTATGCTTTTCTTAGCCTGTGAAACATTTGTAAAGATTTCTCTTAAAAAACTGTTCAAGTAAAATGGGCATGGAATGAATCCTGCTCTTGTTCAACTTCTGCATCCCTGTGTTATTTATTCCAAAAAACCTTCAAAATGTTAAAAATCGCCACAGTTAGATCCCCTTTTTCTCTTCAAGTAAAAGACAATGGCACATGGGTAAGCGACACTTTACCACAAAGAGTGAAAAGCACTTGTTGTGGAACCACATCAACAGTGAGTGAAGAAGCAAAGTAAAATGAATATTTTGAAAATTTTGAAAAAAAAAACTTTACTGATGTGAAAAGCATCACAGATTTATAACTCATAACACAGCCTGACATTGGAATAGACAAGACAGAGTTCCTGGGTCACCATTATTATGCTGACATCTTTCTTTTCTTTTTCTTGCTCTTCTTTTCATGTTCTGAATCACTGCTAGAGTCCTCAAATGAAGATGATGATGAGGAAGATGGTGAAGAAGGTGAGGAGCCCATGTCCATCGTGTGTTGTCTTCCACCTGCAGGGGCTGTGTGAGGTCTCTTAGACTTCTTTTTCTCATCTTCGGATGATGAGGAGGAAGAACTTGAGGAGGAGGAGCTGGAGGAAGAATCACTGTCCTCACTGTCTTCAGAGTCGGAGGAGCTTGAGCTGGACTCACTTGAATCAGATTCACTGCAAGAAAGACTCACATAATTGTTTCACTCTAAATGATGGTTATTAAACTAGAGGATCAGAGAGGCGATACCGCCTCCGAATATTGTACCACCAGCTGGAGCAAGCGCATTCGTATAGACCCCCACATACACAAAATAAGGGACACAGCCACCAGTCTTATGCTTGACAAGCTATAAAAATGCAATCAACAAGAATTTTCAAAATACGCAAAAAATATATATAACTTAAAATGGTACAATCAAAGTTAAGTTCATCGTAAGGTAGGTCAAAGGTCAATTTCAAGGTCACAGTAAGATTGCCAGTATATGACTTCCTATTCAAGTTCAATAGTAACTATGGACCTATCTCTGCCAGTTTTGGAGATAAAAGGGAAGCAAAATTTGCAAAGTTCAGTTCATGGTGAAAAGTAGGTCAAAGGTCAATTTTAAGGTCACATTTAGATTGCCAGTATATGACTTCCTATTCAAGTTCAATAGTAACTATGGACCTATCTCTGCCAGTTTTGGAGATAAAAGGGAAGCAAAATTTGCAAAGTTCAATTCATGGTGAAAAGTAGGTCAAAGGTCAATTTCAAGGTCACAGTAAGATTGCCAGTATATGACTTCCTATTCAACTTCAATAGTAACTATGGACCTATCTCTGCCAGTTTTGGAGATATAAGGGACTAAATGTTATAATTTCGGAGTTACCTTAATGTGCCATAAATTTCCTACAGAAAAAATTAATTAAAATAAAGAAAAGGTCATTTTGGTCAAAATTCTTGAAATGGGAGGTGCTCTGAAGTTCCAGAAGTTCAAATTTGATGAAATAATGTCATTTTTGACCACAAGTTGTCTGCTTTGCCAAGCCTTATGTTTTATTTTTCCAGAGTTCAAAATTTATTATCCATTACCGTACTGCACATTTTGCTTTCACCACCAATATGTACTTTTTGATACAGCGTAACTCGAAAACCGTATGGAATACAAAAAAACGGAGACCACCTCCAGTGTTGGGCTTTACATGCTCTACAAAATGCAAAAAAGAATGGGTCTCTAGCATTAACGGTTCCCGAATTAGAGACAGTTTTCAGTTTCGGTATCTTATGGCCGCTACACCCGTGAAAATGCACCGATTGACCCCAAATTCACACAGATGAAAGATGACCTGAAGGGTAACATTTTCCAATAATATTATTGGTTAAGTCTGTGTGGTGTCTGAATAACAGCGCAAATAAATTTTTTTTCGTAAAAAAATTCATTTTTTTGAAAATTTTTGCCCGTTTGACCTTGAAATAAAGGTCAAAGGTCAAATCCAAGGGCATACTTGAAATCTACACATATGACTTTTGGAAAGCCGTCTGTAGAAATTTTTCCCATAATTCCTTCCGTAGGGTAGATAATTAGCATTTAATTTTGCCATTTTTGGACAAGGGTGCAGTGCAATGAGTGCCACACCTAGACCCCAATACCGACAAAGCCCAAATTTAACGTGGAACGAGTTGAGATTATAGGTGACCTAAATCCAAGAGATGGGTATGGGGGCCCTTACCGTCTAGGAGGAGAAGCGGTAACGGTAACATGGCGGCGGAGCCGGCGGAGCCGCAGGAGCCGGCGGAACGAACCGGACGGGACTAAAACCATGTGTACCGCCAGCGCTAACGCTGGTGGTACAATAATGCCTACTGACATTAATATTTTTTAAGTATTTGGCTATTAAGCATTCAAAAAGTTAATTGAAAAAAATCACAAGTACTTTGGCAATTTGTCAAAATGAAATACAATGGAAATATACCCATGGAGCACAGGGAAAGTTTGAAGCTAATATACAGATCTATCTTCACTAAGACATAAAAAATAAACAATGGAATGTAAAAATACAAATTTACATCAAATGAAATTTACATTGTATAGACAAACATTAGGCCATCACTTCTAAATTTTAAGCTCAAATACCTACTATACAAACTACAAAGCCTAGAAAAGAAGTTACATCCTTACCTTCCCTTCTTTTTCTTCTTATTTTCTTTTGTTGCCATGGTAGCTACTGCAGCTCCACCAGCTCTGAAATTGAAGAAATACTATTGTTTAGAAGAAAAATAAACATAATAAAATTAAATTTACTAAAATAAACTTTACAAAATTTAAATTTTTAAGACAGAGATTACAAGATGCAATTATAAGTACTGATTTTTCTCCCTATTAAAGATGCATTTGAGGACTATTTTTTTTTTTGCTACAAAAGCCAACCAAATGCCACGATACTGTATCAAATAATATAACTTAGAGAAATACCAAAAGATATCATGTCGTATTCCCCCAAAATGATATTTTAACAATATTCTATGCTTGTTTTCTCTGATGTATATAAACGAGTTAGATAAATAAGTCAAATTAATAACCAAAAATTTGAAGAAGGTGCGGTTTAAAGCTCCTTTATGGTTGACCAAGTGATTAACTCTGTTTATCCCTTGGCACATCAACTTAATTCAAGTCGAATAAGAAACTAGTAGAAGGGTTTATATGCCTTTCTGGGAATTCATATTCAACCAATGCTCGGTTCAAATATTCCTTTAATGAAATCTGTTTTAATTTGCAGATTTTTCATTTATACTAAATTGCTAATTGGTTTTTGTCTGTTATTTCAAATTACTACTACTAGTATATATGTTTGTCTGTAAGAGTCAAATGTACATACAACATAGCCAGTTTCTCTTGTTTTTTCAGCTCTTTGGTTCTGCTTGGACGGTAAGTATACTTTCTCTTGGAGGTGCATTCATATGTGTAATGGCCTCTCTCCATGCACTTCTGGCAACGGACATTTTCCACTGGCCTCCTATACATGTAAATAAGTCATAAATGAATGTCCTAGCAAATAGGAAATAGCAACAAAACTGAAATATATAAAGCCCCATAAAATATTCATTATTACAACTTATAATGAAGATAGTTGCTGTATATTATTTACTAATAACTACACTGCATGTAAAAATAAATTCTGAATACTCAAACATTCAAATACTATTTTTATATATGTACATTGTTTTATCAATTGATTTTTTTATCAACGCAAAATCAGATTAACCTGAAACAAGTACGAATACTATACCATCTTGATTATCAAAAAGGCAATGAAAAAACCTTTCAAGGTAAGCACACAAGGAAATATTATTTAAAAATTCAATGCTAAGTACTGGTAGAGCTAGATTATATGTATTGTTTAATTCTAAAAACTGCAAAACACAAAGAAAACAAGCTTGTATTGTCCTAAATGCATAGTAAAACTCAAGACAAACAGGATCGCATCCTTTTTTATCACCTAGTATCTAATTCACTTTCATTCCTAGATATCACAATTTAATGTAAAAGTTTGTTACTTCAGAGAGGCTGATTTCTATGAAAGAAAGAAAGACTGAAAGAAAAGGTTTACTATCTATATAAGTACTTACCGACCATGACCATATCTATTATACTTTGACTTGGACATTGATCTAGAGAGCAACATTTAACAATAGAATTCAGAATTGTTTACAAGTTGGTTCTAAACCTGCGCATCCTTCCCTAATCATACATCACTGATAAAAACCTTTTTTTCATGTTTTGCATAAATGAGGCACTTTGTTTAAAACGCAGTAAGTTGGTGGCGGCGGGTGGGGGCCTTACTGCGTTCATTCTGACATATTTAGCAAAGGAGACACCCACGTAAGGTCCAACTTTTTTCAAACAGCAAGTATTTTTTAATGGACTCGTATAGTAAAATTCAGATTACTGATGTGGAAGTGTACAGGGAAATAATGAAAGAGTCGGTCAGCGTTCAACATCACAACAACATCAACAATTTTACACAATTTCACAACATTCAACAAAAAATTTCAAAGCACTAGACCACAGCACTGGCAGGGCAGAAGTAACACTTATGGCATTTTTTTTTCAGTTTCATAACTGAAGTATTTGTTGATTCATTTCGAAAACAAGTAACTTGAGATTCATAGTTGGATAAAAATAAATATTCGAATATAAAAATCTCCTTCCTTACCCGCCATGATTTCTTTTTGAGCCGAAACCCATGTATCTCCTCAGTTTTGAAGACATTTTGATCTTGTTACTGGACGTAATCGCTTTGAGGGAATGGACTTAATTCTCGCAGTGCCTGAAGAAACAAAAATATTTAATTTTCACAAGTTTTATGTGGTAAATGTGCTCTATGGTCTTCATACAAGTGAATTATTTTATTATTACTGTCTTTAATACTTTGTGTAACTGTTATCTGTTCCGGTTTGATCTCGTTATTAGATGATATCGCAACCGGAAGTTTACTCAAAACTAAACAAGTAAGCTTCCTGTAGATGCACTGCTGTAGATGTGAGTGCAGGTGAAATCGTGGAGCATGACGTTGTTAGCAGGGGCGTTGTTTCTCTGTGGCTATGTTGCTGTTGCCACTGCAGCGGAGTGCACGTAAGCATGATTTTACTTTTGGTTTTTGTATATGGATGAAATTGCTTAAAGGAACATTATTATTCTAAAACCCAGTTTTAAAATTAAAATAAAATAATATACTAATAGTTATTAAAATACAGTTAGTGTTAATATCATTATTACAATCAGAGTTGCTACCTTACTTGAAAAGTTGGGGAAAATTATTTTACAAGGTCTGTGAATTGTCAGGGAAATTAACGTTTTGGTCAAGGAAAAATTTAATTTTAGAAAAGTCGGGGAAAAAATAAAATTTTAGGTAGGGACCACACAAGACTTGCTAATTTGGCTAGGGACTTGATATTTTTAAATCTCATTTAGATCGTAAGTTTTTACACTTTTAGTGATGCCATGTCTGTCATTTTTTCAGATGCCACTTTAAAAATGAATCAAAAGTTGCCCCACTTGATTTTCATCCCCTAAATAATATCATAGAAACTTGAAATTTACCACATCAGAAGTAGAGGAGCTAGGCATGAACACCCAATTTAAAATTTGATTTTTTGACCCCATTCCCAGAGATTAGATCGATCTAATTTAGATCGAACTAACTCCTGGGGGTTCACGCTAAATAGCTGTCAGCCGAGCGGACACGAAAGTTAATTACCCTCTTACAGCTTGTAGTAGGCGGGACGGACATTTAAGCCGGATTATGTGACAGTAATCTAGTGAGACTCCCCGCGGGGATAGATCGATCTAAAATCTATGGGAATACGCCCTTAGATATTTACAAGCATAGTTATATGTTTGTAAAGTATACAGAGTGATAAAATTTGTTTGCAATATGGAATAACAAATTGATACAATGATAAAGTTTAACATTTGAATGATTGTTATCTGTGTAAGTCATAGTAAAAATTAGATTAGTGAAAAAAATTATAGTTTTGGTTGGATTGTGTGGTTGTAATGGAGGTAGAGGTTGAAAATAAGGTGGTATTGGTCAGCGAAAAACAGGATTTGGTTAGTTAAAAGTCAGGGAATTTTATTTAGCAAGTCAGGCTATATGTTGCCTTGTGTGCTGCATCAACGTGTCTTTTCCTGCTTGTGCATAAATACAACTGTCATATGTTACGTTGTACTGCATCAACATGTCTTTTCCTGCTTGTGTATAAATACAGATGTAATATGTTTACTAGTGCGCTGTATCAACATATCTTTTCCTGCTTGTGTATTATTACAAATGCTATGTTTACTTGTATTTTTATGATGCAATTTTTATACACGAAAGTGTAATATTTGCTCCTGACAATGTTTGTATTCTTGTATATGATTTGAGTGCAAAACAAAATTTTATGAGTATCCTGGTTCAGTTGATTAAAAAAAAACTATGAAAAACTATCGAAAAAGGCACTTAATTTACAATCTATTTGTAATTATAAAAGTAATTAGGTGGAAGTCTTCTAGTCAGCTAGCCTGCCGGTATATTGTGCAACTCTCTAAAGAGATGCAGGTTTTTAGGTACAGCATGCATCCCAGGAAATTTATTATAACTCAAAAACTAAATAAGATATCTTTCTGAAATTTTCTGACATTGTTTAAAACATATTTCGGATGCTTATGAAAAAATTTCAACAAATTATTTGGTAAAGTGAAAAAGAATGTGCATGCTGAAATTAAAGTTTTGTTTTTTACTTCTCTTCGAGAAAAGCAAATCTCATATTTAAACTCCTGCTATTTCTACCTAAGTTAAACAAATGTGAATAAAACTGAAATAACTTTAAAGCTTACATTCTTGGCTTTCTAAAAATGTACAGTTCTTAGGTGTTTTCTAGACAAGTGAATACGTTATCATTGATTAAATGAGGCCGCCTGTAAAATTGAGTGCATCCGGGTAGAGGGCTCAGGACCAAGGGCACTTTCTAGGTCAGATGCTGTCAGGCTCTATGGGGTTAAGGCTTCGTTCACATGCAATGTCTATTTTCTAAATTCTATTTTCTATTTGCGGTATGTCTTATGATCACGGTCTGTGGCCTGAATATCCCGCGGCATAATTACTGGCAGCGCGAGCCAGTTACTATAAGTTACTATAAGTAACTGGCTCGCGCTGCCAGTAATTACGCGGCGGGATATTCAGGGCACAGACCGTGATCATAAGATAGCGCAAATAGAAAATAGAAATTAGAAAATAGACATTGCATGTGGACGAAGCCTAATAAAAGGCAATGAGCCCAGAGTATGACATGAAGCAGTAACCTTAAAATTTTGACTTTTAGGTAACAACATTAGTGTATAAAAGGCTAAACCTATGCAATGCATTACTCAGCAGCCACCTGCTTTTTAGGGCAAATCTTATTGTACATTCGTCTGGGAAATTTGAAACATACCCTTATTTCTCACCTTTATGCAAAAAATCGGTAATGACATTTTGACAGGGACGATACTGCATTTGCCATGGAATTTTCAAATTTTGTAATGGCTTCAAATGAATAGTAAGCAATCACAAGCACCTAAAAAGTGCTTTCCTATTGTGTTAGTGGCATTTGGAGGAGAAAACTTGATGCCATTTGACAAATATAAATGTGCTGGATTATTTGAAATGAGACATAATCATTGACATCTGTGGCAAACAAGGGCTTTTAAGAAGTGAAGACGAATATGACTTTGATAGCACAGTTTTATACCTACAAGCAAAAAACGAAACCAATGACAGTAAGTTACCTGTAACACTGTTACACATCATTAAAATAAGTGGTGATTCCGCTGTTAAGCATAATGTAATATTGCACTGCCACCACAAGACTTACAAGAAGAAAATTGCATTACTTCTCCTCAAAACAAGAATGATTGTTAGGACTAAAACACAGCTACAATGGGAAAAGCAGTCTGATTTGATTCTTATTCTTGTAGCCATGCATTTTTTAATTAATGTGCACGACACTTACCTTTTTCACCTACTTCCTTGCTCACCTGTATTAAATGGCAAGTGAGCTAGATTATATGAAAATCCACCAAATTTAAACCACTATTTCCTACAGTCAAAATAGAAACTTAATATGCTCTCCCACTTTAAGCAGCTGTTGTTACAGTTCGTGTTTATAAAACGGGAATTATATTGACTTAGACTGAAATTGTGCTGGCCATACATGAATGTGTTTATTGTCTATGTACGGAATCTATTGTTTGAATAAGGACTGACATTGTGTTTTCATGAGTAAGACCCAAATTGAATGCCTGCATGTGGTGGATAGGCTGGGGATTAAGATTTGGTGGCCCAGTGAATATAAAAGAATAAATTTTATGCTATTTTGTCTATTGCATGCCTATATCTTTTTGAGAAGCAGATTTTAAGCTCTTTTCAGCTATTTAGAAGCCCAGGGTTAAATAAAATTCAAATACAAAAGTAGAATACAACAATGAACAATATAACTAGAAAAGCACTCAGAGAGCACAAACCTCTGCCAAGGACTTCTTTACCTGTAAGAAATAATAAACAACTGACATGGCATGTGCTTAGATACACTTTATATATATATAAAGAGCACATTCAGATAATTCATGGACTTACTGATCTGTGGACCAAATGTGGCTAACCCAATTTAAAAGGTAGCCCCTTAGAATCCCCAGATGGTCTCCCTGCCTCCACATGTGTCATACCTGCATGGACCAAGGAATTAAACCTTGGAGCCATGTTTATTCAGTTTAAATAATTAATGGCGCATGTGGAGGAGGGAAGACCATCGTGGATTAAATGGCTTCCTTTTATGTTGGGTCTGCCATATTTAGTTCGTGGATCAGTAAGGCTGCATTCACATTGAGCAGAGCCGAGGCTCTAAAAAGCTGAGAACTAAATATGGCGGACGTACATGAAAGGAAAACTGTGTAATCCATCTAATGGTCTCTCTGCCTCTCACACACCTCCCCACGCGTCGTCCCAATGGAGCCGAGATTTAATGACTGTACACCCGTAGGGATGATGTGTGGGGAGGCGTGTGAGAGGCGGAGAGACCATTAAAGGATTAGGCGGTTTTCCCTCCATGTACGTCTGCCATATTTAGTTCTCGACTTTGTAGAGCCTCGGCTCCTCTCGATGTGAATGCGGCCTATGATCATCTGTTGTGAATGAGCTCAGAATGGCCTATGTATGTCGTGGTGGATTAAGGGGGGTGTCAGTGGGGTCCTGCCCCCCCTCCCCTTTGGTATCTGAAAAAAAATCACACCAATAGTCCCCTCTTGAATTTAGAATTTTGACTGGCTGAATCATAGTTCTAAACTGTACCAAATGGCACTGCACACCCTCCAAAACACCCAAATTTTTGTGGCCTATTAGTCAAGGGGGGCTTAGGGTTGGCTTTGCATCCAAGGGCTGTCATTTCGAAAAAAAAGGGGACCCTTCCTTCAAATTATCCTGGATCTACCCCTGTGTGATGTGTGACGCAACTTGACTTACTTTAATGAATCTGAGCTGTGATTTAATCAATTCTGTCCTGTCTGGGGCCACTCAGGAACAGGAAACTATAGTAATACAAGGACTTGTACTTCATTAAAAGTCCTCGAGTAATATGACTAACATTTAATCTTTTAGAATCACTTATCAGGTAAAGAAAATGGCAAATATTTTGCAGTGTTAAGCAGTATATATTTTTGATAAAAGTTAAATTTTTGATTTGGCTCAAGTGAGTCATCTGTTTTGATTTAAGGGATTTGTATCCTAGAGTAAGCTCAGCCATTCATTGAAAAGTCCTATTACATACATTTTCTGTGTAGAATAAGCTGGTTATAAGGTGATTGTCAAGCACATGTACTAGTACTATTGTCATGCAGTCATAATATACATCTGTCATATTAATTTCCAGACGAGCATGCTCCGTTCTCACTGATCCTGATCTTGTACCTTGCTGGCAGCAAAGCACAGAATACTTTGCTCAGACTCTGTCCAAGGCCATAGAGGACTTTGCTGCCATCAACGTCCATGTGTCTAGGTGGAAGCAGAACCACAAGGAGCAGAGTGACAAATATGCTGAGTTTGACCACGAAATTGTGAACAAGACACTGGATGGAATGGATTTTGCTGGAACTACGCTAAGCAAAGAGGATCTGGCTGAGATTTATAATTTGATTCTGAATAAGGCAAGGGGTTTAATTTGATTTAGTGGCAAGTTTGATTATAAATTCATTTTAAATGGTGTAGTTTGTTCCACATTTAAAATGAAATATATATTTATGATTTGTCTGAAAAGTAGATATTTATGATTTTGATTTTAAGAGAATCTTTGTTCAGTCCATAGTGATACAGGCAGTTTTTTTAGTGTAACATTGAAATTGATCATCATTATGTTAAATGATATTTAATGCAGTTCACTCTTATCTTGCAGACAAGGAAAGTCGAACCAAATTATGAGCAGGAAGATGAACTGGTTGAGCTGCCTCATGTCGAGTGCCCTGTTCCTTGCTCGTACACAGTCACCATGTGGATTGCCCTGTTCTCAGTCATGATTGTTGTCACTTTTCTCACATTATTGGTGACAGGTGCATACTTGTTTACTCTCCATAGGATGCAGAAAAGTCCACATTCCAAACCCTTGGTGTCTTCTCCAAGCTAATGTGTTATTGCACATAACTGTCACAGTTTTTAGGACTTCCCACAGCTGATTTAGAAGCCTGTGAGTCTTATGAGCATTATTTTCATAACATTTATATATTGGTACTAAATTTTCAAAAGATATCTGATTTTGAAAACAATTGAACACATATGTTTGTGTTAAACTTCATATTTGATTTATTTGTTTTGAAAAAAATAGCTGTTTATCTGCAACAGAAAGTATGCTAACATGACCACAGAGCTGAAATGACTTATTAACCGAAAAAAAGCATCCTTATTTGTTATTTTGGGCCCAAATGTGGGTCAAAGATAATTTATAAAATCAATCTTCAATTGAGGGCTTCCAATCATTCATTTGATGTGCATATTGTTGAGCTTGTGTCTTTGTTCATCAGCATTGTTGTAGTCACTCTCTGTTATATCTCTAACATTTTGATACACTACATGCAGTTAAGCAGGTCTGTAGAAATAATCTCATTTTAATCTTCAAATATTTTATTTCTGTAATAATGCAGGCCATTTTTGGCAGAGATTTTATCCAGCCTGACCCTTAAGCTTGTCATTGTAAATTATACATAAGCGTATTGGCAGCTTGAAACAGGTTGCAGGAAAAAAATATTTGAGCTTGTCATTGTAAAATATACATAAGTGTATTGACAGTTTGAATCAGGTTGCAGGAGAAAAATATTTGTAAAATCCTTGATAATTACATGGATATGATGAAAAATATATCAGATAAGTGCAATTGTCATGTAAGGCAGGTATTAAGATTTTGTTTTACTTTCCCTGTAAAGGAATCTTTTAAAAGGTTGGTAGTCATTGTGTGTTGTTATTAACAGTTCTAACCTTCCTATTTCTAAGACTTTTAACAGATCAGCATCTTTCTATTTTTCTTTTCTTTTTCTTTTTTTTTGTTACGATTGTTAAAATATGAAATAAACCATTCTTTGAAATGTTATTCTTGACTCTTAAACATTTCATATCTGGCATTTGCTGGGACTTGTAAATAAAAGTAAGTGTCACTGTTCTCCAGTCTCCATTGGGACCAACACTTCCCTATTATTTACTGATCTGAAGTAGGAGAATTTCAGTGGTAAGACTGAACATTTTCCCCTATTGCAATAATATTTGTAATAATGAGACCTTGATTTTGTCAATTTTTTTAAAAAACAATTTTCAAGTTACATTTCAGAAAAAAATTATATCAAATTGGAAACTTTTTTGAAAACTTACAGAAAAAAATTAAAGAAAAAAAAAAAAAAACAGGTGGTACCAGCAGCTGAAGGTAAA